CACTGTGCTGGGTGAATACAAGTTTAGGCATTGTGTTCGAAAGTCATTTCTGTAAGTGTAACCTGGATGAAGGCTTTCATCAAAATAATGCTGAAAGATTACAGTGATTACCCCATGCTGTCGTCACTCCTCGGTTCACACACACACACACACACACACACACACACACACACACACACACACACACACACACACACACACACACACCTTTCATTGCACCACAAGGGGTGACTCGCCTGAAACGCCTGTAAATAAGAATTATCTGCATGATTCAGGTGTAGGGAATATCACACACCTTTCAAGGTTTACTGTTCAGGTATACCACAACATCATGACGGATGTGTTGGGAGCAAGTTGAGTCCCTTACAATCAGAATTACAGGTCTGGCCTGAGAACTTGGACTGTCATGTTCTCTATTAGTCGGCATGCGTTTTGGTGTAGAAGCTTATTATGCCATAGCTGACAAGGCTGAGAAAAATGAGAATCTTTAGGATAAAATACTTTCATGTTGATATATGTTGCTCTAATATAGGGATGAGAATATCATGTACACAGTGAACATATTACTGTAAAGTATAAAGGGTCCCACTTTAATACGAAGTACAACTTATAAAGGCTTTATATGGCATACATAAAGGCTTCATAAGCACTACATAATTGCTTCACAAATAATCTACAAGTGCATGTCATAATCTATAAATGGTGTATAAACATACATAGTGTGTTATGTTCCATTTGGCAATTCACCCTGAAGTGGGAATGGTTATGTCATCCTTAATACACCATTTAGAGTATGACATACGCTTATAGATGATTTGTGAAGAACGTATGTAGTGCTTATGAAGCCTTTTTGTATGCTGTATAAAGCCTTTATAAGTGGGACCCTATAAAGACGTTAAAGAAGTCCGTGGTCTCTCAATTGAGCCTGCTGATGAAAACTACAGCACTGAGAGTATAAGCTGTTTGCTGAATGGGATTAGTGTTAGAGCAGGGGAGCAATGCTATGAAATTAGCGCCCTTAGTTCAAGTATGTATTAGTTTACTTGGTTGCAATGTGGTAGAGAATGTCACAGAAGTTGAGCCCACACACCAATGTTTGCTAAAAGTAAGGGTAAGCCTGTAACTGGTGGTAAAATAACCCAATTGAATTATTATTAGATTGCTTTGATACTGTATTGTATCGGATTGCTGTGGATGATATTAGATTTCTTGTCTGCAACTGTCCCACAATGACTGCAACCAATCTCTGTTAACACTGTGCAAAGATCTCACTGATATTGATAGTCAGTCAAATCCACCCCTAGAACATTTACGTCATTTAGCAGACGCTCTTATCCAGAGCGACTTACAGTTAGTGCATACATTATTTTAATTTTTCATACTGGCCCCCCGTGGGAATCGAACCCACAACCCTGGCGTTACAAACGCCATGCTCTACCAACTGAGCTACCTCCGTGCCCGCCATTCCCTCCCCTACCCCGACGCTGGGCCAATTGTGCTCCGCCCCATTGGTCTCCCGGTTGCGGCCGGCTACAGCAGAGCCTGGATTCGAACCAGGATCTCTAGTGGCACAGCCTTAGACCACTGCGCCACTCGGGAGACCCAATCATCTTCTCCTCATTTCCAAGAATAGCCTGAAAAGTGGGATTTGCTCCCCTGCTCTGTGTTTTCTGCCATTCCAAAGATTGATTGTTCATTGTTTGCGACAGGGACTCTCTTTGTTCCATAAGGCGCCTGTGGAGGATTTTTTCTTTTTGTGGGGGGGGGGCGCATCTGACTCCCTCCCATGGACATGATTTCGAGACAGACTGGGACTGGGACTGGGTGAGTGGGACAGGAGGACAGGACCACTGGAGACATGCCAGATCAAGATAGTTAATTATACTGTACAGAAATATAAACGCAACATGTAAAGTGCTGGTTCCATGTTTCATTAGCTGAAATAAAAGATCCCAGACATTTTCCATAACCACGAAAAGCTTATTTCTCTCAAAATGTGTGCACAAATTTGTTTACATCCCTGTTAGTGAGCATTTCTACTTTGCCAAGATAATCCATCCACCTGACAGGTGTGGCATATCAAGAAGCTGATAAAGCAGCATGATCATTACACTGGTGCACCTTGTGCTGGGGACAATAAAAGGCCACTCTCAAATGTGCAGTTTTGTCACACAGCACAATGCCACAGATGTCTCAAGTTTTGAGGGAGCGTGGAATTGGCGTGCTGACTGCAGGAATGTCCACCAGAGCTGTTGCCAGAGAATTGAATGTTAATTATCTACCATAAGCCGCCTCCAACGTCATTTAGAGAATTTGGCAGTACGTCCAACTGGAGACCACGTGTAACCACGCCAACCCAGGACCTCCACATCCAGCTTATTCACCTTTGGCAGGATCTGAGACCAGCCACCTGGACAGCTGATGAAGCTGAGGAGTATTTCTGTCTGTAATAAAGCTCTTTTGTGGGGAAAAACTCATTCTGATTGGCTGGGCCTGCCTCCCCAGTGGGTAGGCCTGGCTCCCAAGTGGGTGGGCCTATGCCCTCCCAGGCCCACCCATGGCTGCACCCCTGCCCAGTCATGTGAAATCCATAGATTAGGGCCTAATTTATTTATTTCAACTGACTGATTTCCTTATATGAACTGTAACTCAATAAAATCTTTGAAATTGTTGTATGTTGCATTTATATTTTTGTTCAGTATATATGATCCATGATCAAGATCCTTCATGTTTCCTGGTTGATGGGAACTGTGTCAGAGGAAGGGACCAAATAAAGGTTATTCCAGTGACCTCGAGTTGTCAGGTAGAAATAGAGCCAGAGAAATATGGATTTTAGGTTGTCTTCTGCATTATGGAGGCAATGATTTAAAGCCTCACTTTTACTTACGTACACTGAGTATACCAAACATTAGGAACACCATTCTAATATTGAGTTGCTCCCCCCCCCCTTTTGCTCTCAGTACAGACTCAATTTGTCGGGGCCTGGACTCTATGGGCGGCAGGTAGCCTGGTAGGTGGGTGCGTTGGGCCAGTAATCGAAATCCCCAAGCTGACAAGGTAAAAATCAGTTGTTCTGCCCCTGAGCAAGGCAGTTAACCCACTGTTCCCCAGGCACTGATGACGTGGATGTCGATTAAGGCAGCCCCCCGCACCTCTCTGATTCAGAGGAGTTGGGTTAAATGCGGAAGACACATTTCAGTTGAATGCATTCAGTTGTACAACTGTCTAGGTATCCCCCTTTTTCTACAAGGTGTCAAAAGCATTCCACAGGGATGCTAGCCCATGTTGACTCCAATGCTTCCCACAGTTGTATCAAGTTGGCTGGATGTTCTTTGGGTGGTGAACAATTCTTGATACACACGGGAAACTGTTGAGCCTGAAAAACCCAGCAACGTTGCAGTTCTTGACTCAAACCGGTGTGCCTGGCACCTACTACCATACCCCATTCAAAGGCATTTAAATATTTTGTCTTGCCTATTCACCCTCTGAATGGCACACATACACAATCCATGTCTCAATTGTCAAGGCTTAAAAATACTTCTTTAACCTGTCTCCTCCCCTTCATCTACGCTGATTGAAGTGGATTTAACAGGTGACATCAATAAGGGATCGTAGCTTTCAACTGGATTCACCTGGTCAGTCTATGTTATGGAAAGAGCCTGTGTTCTTAATGTTTTGTATACTCACAAAAATGGAGTGATCTGGAAATGTTTCTCATGTCTTTCATGTCTGGAACTGGTTTACCTGAATCAAATAGGATATGATGATACATTAAGTGATTGTTTATCAGATAGTGCCAATTGACATTGTTTATGACGGAGAGGATGAGAGCAGCCAGTCATTGTGTCGCCATGTGGGGCCCAAGGGTGTGGTGTTGCTAGTTTTAGCCTAGGCTGTGAGTCCACTTTGCCCCAGTGGATCGAGCGGACAGAGGTTTCCAGAGAGGCTCGTTATCCTGTGTTTACCTCGGAAGAACAGAACCGGACCTTGCCCCACCTCTAAGACCCCCATCCCGTGTCAGCCAGGAGCAGATCCGATTGCGCAGCAGCTTATTTTAGCGGCACATTGACTGCATCCTGTTAACAGTATTCAGACAAACAGTCACCTCAAAGGAAGACGGCAGAGCACTTTGATGTAAACACAGATGTCCTTACTCCGGCCAGGCTAAAACAGTATATGTGTACTTCATGCTGATGTTTGTTCACAAACCTTTGCCAAATGCCATGGGATATATCATATGTCCCACATGGCCAAACTGAGTGGTTTTGTATAGATTACACATCTGTGTTTTGTACGCTACTTAGTAATTACATCATAGCACTTAAAAGTTTGAAAGCTATTCTACATAGGTCAGTTTTATTTAACCTTTATTTATCCAGTCCCGTTTAGGTCAATATACTTATTTTACAAGGCAGACCTGGCCAAGAGGGCAGCTCCAGTAAAAGCAGTCATTATGAGGACCTGATACGGGGAGACGTGACATCTCTAGTGTCTGAATGAATGGGTGTAAAACTCACTCAGAGAGCGAGTCACAGAAGAGACGTGGTTTAAAGCGTTTACTTAGAGTTCATCTGACTGAGTCCTCAGAGACCTGCATTAACAACCACAAAGTGGCACGGTACATTTAGTCAATGCCACAAACTCAATCAGAAGCTTGGAACACATCAAATATTGAATTCTTAAAAGCTTCTGGAATACGTCCTGGGATAAGTTAAATTTAGTCATTCACACATTTGTTCTTACTTTGAGGATGGTGTTAGTCTATGTTCGGTAGGTACTGCTGAGAGTGAAAAATGAAGCACTTGTAGTCATTACCAGAGAAATGTCATGGGACAGATTCAAGGCAATAAGCAGAAATAACTTATGGCTCCCCCTGCTGGATATTAAGATTTTATCATTCTCATGCTACAGAACTTATTTTCAATATGATTTACACTAACTTTGTGTCTCTGTGTGCGTGCTTGTGTCTATGCATGTGTGCATCTATGCGTGTGTGTGTGGGTGGGGGGGTCTCTCTCCTCCCCAGAGTTGTTGGACACCAGAGCAGCGCGGCCCTTCTCCTTCTCCTTCAACACCAGTGACTACCGTATCCTGCTGATGGACCAAGACCAGGGCCGTCTCTACCTGGGCAGCCGGGAGTACCTGGTGGCCCTGGACATGCACAACGTCAACAAGGAGCCACTCATTGTAAGACGAACACACATAAACATAAACACACATAACCACAACTGATTCAAAAAGGCACATGAGTCTTTTGTCCTTCAAGAAAGTTTAATGTGGTAGTTTAATGTGGTAGTAAAATGTGGTAGTTCAATGTGGTAGTTTAATGTGGTAGTTTAATGTGGTAGTTTAATGTGGTAGTAAAATGTGGTAGTTTAATGTGGTAGTAAAATGTGGTAGTTTAATGTGGCAGTTTAATGTGGTAGTTAAATGTAGTAGTTTAATCTGGTTGTAAAATGTGGTAGTTTAATGTGCCAGTTTAATGTGGTATTAAAGAGACCTCAAGTAAAATGCTCCTTTACTGTGTGTGGTATAATTTTTAGCTTTGTGGTCTTTCCCTGACAGATCCATTGGCCAGCCTCTGACAAGAGAAAAGGGGAGTGTCGGATGACAGGAAAAGGAGGACAGGTGATAATAACTTCTCTTCTTACAGGATGAACTGATGATGTCCCACTTTCATGGGTCTATTTCACAGTTTTGAAAGAGAAAGCCTTGTTTTTTTCATTCAACAACAATTCATAACATTCCCATGTCTGTGTACACACAACAGGGTGAGTGTGCAAACTTTGTGCGTATGATAGAGCCATGGAACCGCACCCACCTGTACACCTGTGGGACCGGAGCCTACCAACCCATCTGCACCTTCATCAACAGAGGCTGGAAGGCAGAGGTGAGAGGTTAAATATGCCCAAAAGCATTCTAAAACACATTCAACTGCAGCATATCTGTGTATATTTAGGCCCAGCAGCTCGGATTACTAAAAAGTCTAGTACTCAAAACTAGGCCACAGATTTGAGCTCTATTTCACTATACACTTTTGCCATTTCATTAAAAAAATGTATTTGTTCCTTATCTGGCCTTTCTGGTCCCTCTCTTTCCAGGATTATGTGTTCAGGTTGGTTCCTGGATTTATAGAATCAGGGAAGGGCAAATGTTCCTACGATCCTTTCCAGGAGAACATTGCTGCTCTCATCAGTAAGTTTCACCTCACTTATGAATACACTTAGTAGACTGCCCAAAACTGAAAACAAGTCCTCTCACTTTCACTGTTTCCTAACCTCTCCTCTCCACCTCTCTCCCCTCCACCTCTTTCTCCTCCTCCTCTGCAGATGGGAATCTGTATGCAGGTGTCCATGTAGACTTCATGGGGACAGACCCAGCACTCTTTAGGACCATGGGGGGCAGAACAGCAGTCAGGACAGAGCAGTATGACTCAAGGTGGCTCAATGGTGAGTTACTACACCTGAAAAAGGGCACCACCTTGTAAGGGTGGACTCCGAAAGAGGTGCTGTTTGTTTCATGGTCCTTCTAGCCGGATGCATGGCAAACTGCTGCTAATGAATTCTGAGAACAACTGCCTGTTTCTCCTTTCTTTTCATCACTCAAATGGAGAAGAGAAGAGGGAGAAGCGAGAGAGGACGGGCGAGAGAAGGAGGAGAAAAGAAGGAGAGGAGAGAGAGAGAGAGAGAGAGAGAGACGAAGAGAGAGAGAGAGAGAGACGAGAGAGAGAGAGAAGAGGAGAAAGAAAGAGAGAGAAGGAAGAGAGGAGGAGAGAGAGAGAGAGAGGAGGCGAGAGAGAAGAGAGAGAAGAGACGAGAGGAGAGAGAGAGAGGAGAGAGAGAGAGAGGAGAGAGAGAGAGAGAGAGAGAGAGAGAGGAGGAGAGGCAGAGGGGAGAGAGGAGCGAACGAGAGAGAAAACGAAAGAAGAGAGAGAGAGGGGCAGAGAGAGAGAGAGAGGAAGGGGAGGAGAGAGAGAGAGAGAGAAGAGAGGAGCGAAAAGGAGCAAAAGAGGAAAGAGTCATGCGAGATACGAGCGAGAGATAAGAGTCTAGAGGAGAAGAAGAGAGAAGAAGTATGCGAGAGAGAGAGGAGATAGAAAAAGAGGAGAGCGTAGCTGATGAGCTGAGGGAAGCAGCTAGTCTGGAGATTCCATCGAGATCTCTCTATATCTCTCTCTAAATGTTCTACCTCTAGCTTATATCTATAATATCTACTCTCGTCTCTCTCTCTCATTGTGGATCATTTATGGCTAAATGCTTAGAGGTAAAAATATGTATTATACCGTGATACACTTCCCTTACCTCTTTACCTTCCTTTATGTTACTTCCTTTCCTTCTCTTCCCTCTTACCAGGATGATGAAGGGGGTCAGAAGTCCCTGGTCAACAGATGGACCACCTTCCTGAAAGCCCGCCTCATCTGCTCTGTGATCGGAGAGGATGGGGTGGAGACCTCATTCGACGAACTGAGTGAGACAGACCTCAATGAAAGATTTACTAGATCATTACTTATTATTAGTCTATGGGTCTGAGTCTCTCATCTGCAGCAAGGTAATTTTCTGTCTTCCAGGGGATGTTTTCATCCAGCCCACGCAAGATGAACGCAACCCTGTGGTCTATGCCCTGTTCACTACTGCTGGGTAAGGTCACCATTATATTCATCTTACATCACCTTTTATACTTCCCCTTTCTCCAATCCCCTTCTCTCTATACCCCTTCCTGCTGTCACTGCTTTCTCCAATCCCCTTCTCTCTATACCCCTTCCTGCTGTCACTGCTTCATGGTTTTGTACTGTAGGTTTACCTCTCTCTCCTCCTTCCTCCACTTCACTGGTTGATGCTTACTGGATTCCTCATTCTTTCTTTCTCTCCCAGCTCTGTGTTCAAGGGTTCAGCAGTCTGCGTCTACTCCATGGCTGACATCCGCAACGTCTTCAATGGACCTTTCTCCCACAAACATGGTCATAACTACCAGTGGACAGTCTACACTGGCAAGATTCCCTACCCTCGCCCTGGCACAGTAGGTTTAGACCTGTTACTCACTGCAACCAATAAATACATTACACACAAATTAAAGTGAGTATCACCTCTGTCGAATCAGACAAGGGATGCGGGCGCGGGCGCGCGAGCGCGCGCGCGCGCGCGCGCGCGCCAGCCAGCCAGCCAGCCAGCCACCAGCCAGCAGCCAGCCAGCCAGCCAGCCAGCCAGCCAGCCAGCCAGCCAGCCAGCCGGGCCAGCCAGCCAGCCAGCCGCCGAAGCGAGCGAGCGAGCGAGCGAGCGAGCGAGCGAGGAGCGAGCGAGCGAGCGAGCGAGCGAGCGAGCGAGCGAGCGAGCGAGGCGAGCGAGCGAGCGAGCGAGCGAGCGAGCGAGCGAGCGAGCGAGCGAGCGAGCGAGCGAGCGAGCGAGCGAGGCGAGCGAGCGAGCGAGCGAGCGAGCGAGCGAGCGAGCGAGCGAGCGAGCGAGCGAGCCAGCCAGCCAGCCAGCCAGCCAGCAGCCAGCCAGCCAGCCAGCCAGCCAGCAGCCAGCCAGCCGCCAGCCAGCAGCCAGCCAGCCAGCCAGCAAGCCAGGCCGCCAGCCAGCCAGCCAGCCAGCAGCCAAGCCAGGCCAGCCAGCCAGCCAGCAGCCAGCCAGCCAGCCAGCCAAGCCAGCCAGCCAGCCAGCCAGCCATGCCAGCCAGCCAGCCAAGCCAGCCAGCCAGCCAGCAGCCAGCCAGCCAGGCCAGCCAGCCAGCCAGCCAGCCAGCCAAGCCAGCCACGCCAGCCAGCACAGCCAGCCAGCCAGCCGAGGGCGAGCTGCAGCGAGCGAGCGAGCGAGCGAGCGAGCGAGCGAGCGAGCGAGCGGAGCGAGCAGCGAGCGAGAGCGAGCGAGCGAGAGCGAGCGAGCGAGCGAGAGCGAGCGAGCGAGCGAGCGAGCGAGCGAGCGAGGAGCGAGCGAGCGAGCGAGCGAGCGAGCGAGCGAGCGAGCGAGCGAGCGAGCGAGCTAGCGAGCTAATCTATGCGAGCGATCGATCTAGTCATGACTATCTATCGATCTATCTATCTATCTACTATCTATCTATCTATATCTCTCCCAAAGTACACTGCTCCTTCCTCCCCCTACTATCGGCATGCACTCAGCCCTGGGCGTGGACCGGAGCTCCTGCTAGATAATCTCTATCCTCGATCGCGCCTCATCGCCGCGCCAGCGCTATAGTACGCGCTTATCTCTCTCTCGAGCAGCATATCCATCTCTCTCTCTCTCTCTCTCTCTCTCTCTCTATCTCTCTCTCTCTCTCTCACCTCTTTTAAACTCACAATATATAATCTCTCTCTCCCTCCCCCTAGTGTCCAGGAGGAACATTTACTCCAGGCATTCGTACCTCTAAGGACTTCTCAGACGAGGCAGTGAACTTTATGCGAGCCCATCCCCTCATGTACCACCCTGTGTACCCTATCCACCGTCGCCCCCTGGTGGTGAGGACTGGTGTGGACTACCGCTTCACTGCCCTGGTGGTGGACCAGGTGGACGCCGTAGACGGCCGATACGAGGTGCTCTTCCTAGGCACAGGTGAGTGGCTCTCCGTCCCAGGGCAATTGGCTGACTGAAGGACTTCATTGCTTGTCCGAATTTCACATTTTGTATTTTGTCCAAATTGTTGTTCCAGATCGTGGCACTGTCCAAAAGGTCATAGTTTTACCTAAAGACCCGAGCACCATGGAGGAGCTCACCCTGGAGGAAGTGGAGGTTTTCAGGGTATGCCTATATGATTATCCAAATATTGTTTACATTATAGAAAAAGTCTCCAACCACTGTCCTTGAACATTCATTCAATGGTTATGCTCTGTAGTTCCTGATGTGAAACATTACATTTAATTACAGACACATGCTGCTGTCAAAACAATGAAGATATCATCTAAAAGGGTAATCTGAACTCTTGATTTCAATGTAATTGTCTACATCATTTCCAATACCCCAACTCTCTCTTTGTTAATCAACAGGAAATACTAGAGAGATGTTGTTGATGCTGACCTCTTGTTTTCATTGTCAATATAGCAACAGCTGTATGTGTCGTCAGAGGCGGGGCTAACCCAGGTGTCTCTCCACCGCTGTGGGGTGTACGGGAGGGCCTGCTCCGACTGCTGTCTGGCACGGGACCCTTACTGCGCCTGGGATGGGGAGAGCTGCTCCGCTTTCACCCCCGCCACCAAGAGGTCAGGACCACAACACACACCATCACAACACACCACAACACGTCATCTAGCAACTAACAGTGGAAGGGGTGTCGTAATACGTTATAAGTCTTCTTCACTGTGTCTGCGTAAATGTGTGAATGACTGAATTACTTTCTGTACTTGTGAAATGTGTTCGATGAACCCTGCGCTCTCTCTGTTACCCAGGAGGAGCAGAAGGCAGGATGTGAAACATGGGGATCCACTGCGACAGTGCAGAGGCTTCAATGCCAAAGGTTAGACAATACACTTTTATCTTCAGAGTTCAGAGTGACACACATTAAAATAATTTTATAATACAAAAATGTACAAGGAACTGGCATTTAAAATAATCTCCCTCCCTCCTCCTCCCTCCTCCTCCCTCCTCCTCCTCCCCCCATCCTCCCGTCCTCCCCTCCTTCAGTGGAGAAGCGTCTGAGAGAGACAGTCCAATTTGGTGTGGAGGGGAGCAGTACATTTCTGGAGTGTCAGTCTCGCTCTCCTCAGGCCACAGTCAAGTGGCTCTATCAGAGGGGAGGAAGAAGGAAAGTGGTAAGGAAGAAAATACAAGTTTCTATTTCTGCTCTTTTAAAAGAGACCAGTATTATTCAAATATCAAATTCAGACCACATTTACACCGAGTATACCAAACATTAGGAACAACTTCTTACTATTGAGATGAACCCCCCCCCCCCCCCCTCCTCCCCCTTTTGCCTTCAGAAAAGCCTCAATTCATTGGGGCATGGACTCTACAAGGTGTCGAAAGCTTTCCACAGTTATGTCAAGTTGGCTCCATTCTTGAAACACACAGGAAACTGTTGAGTGTGAAAAACCTAGCAGCTTTGTAGTTGCAGACAATTGAGACATGGATTGTGTATGTGTGCCATTCAGAGGATGAATGGGTAAGACAAAATATTTAAGTGCCTTGGAACGGGGTATGGTAGTAGGTGCCAGGCGCACTAGTTTGAGTGTGTCAAGAACTGCAACGTTGCTGGGTTTTTCAGGCTCAACAGTTTCCCGTGTGTATCAAGAATGGTCCACCACCCAAAGGACATCCAGCCATCTTGACATAACTGTGGGAAGCATTGAAGTCAACATGGGCCAGCATCGCTGTGGAACGCTTTCAACACCTTGTAGAGCCAATGCCCCAACAAAAGGGGGTGCAACAAAATATTAGTAAGGTGTTGCTAATGTTTTGACCACTCCGTGTAGTTCTTAGTGGAAGAACACATTAAAGCACATTCAAGCTCAGAGAGAGTGACACTTCAATTATTTATATCTTGAACCAGAGATTGAGATTACATTCTGAAAGGCACTTGCCAATCGAGCAAGTCAGGAGTATTTTTTGGTTGCCTGAAATTAATGATCATGTAAATTAGCTATTTACACGCAGATATATTGCCATATACAGTGAGGTCCAAAATTATTGGCACCCTTGATAAAGATGAGCAAACAAGACTGTATAAAATAAATAATACAAATACTGAGCTACAATGAGTGTACAAAACATTAAGAACACCTTCCTAATATTGAGTTGCAACCCTCCCCCCTCAGAACATCCTCAATTTGTCTGGGCATGGACTCTACAAGGTGTCGAAAGTGTTCCACAGGGATGCTGGCCCATGTTCACTCCAATGATTGCCACAGTTGGGTCAAGTTGGCTGGATGTCTTTTGGGTGGTAGATCATTCTTGATACACACAGGAAACTGTTGACAAGAAAAACATAACAGCGTTGCAGTTCTTGTTGACACATACCGGTGTGCCTGGCACCTACTACCATACCCCGTTCCAAAGGCACTTAAATATTTTGTCTTGCCCATTCACCCTCTTCATGGCACACATACACAATCCATGTCTCTGTTGGCTTAACAATCTTTGTTTAACCTGTCTCCTCCCCTTCATCTACACTGATTAACAAAAGACATCAATAAGGGATCATAACTTTCACCTGGATTCACCTGGTCAGTCTATGTCATGGAAAGAGCAGGTGTTCTTAATGTTTTGTACACTCAGTGTATATTGTATGCTATATTTGGGGGGGGGGGGGGGGGGGGGGGTTTCAATACCTTTCAATACCTCACCTTGCGAGGATAACGGCAATTAGCCTTTTTCTAAGATGTTTTACGAGATTGGAGGGATCGAGAGGGACCTTAGATTTTAGACCATTCCTCCATACAGAATCTTTCCAGATCCTTGATATCCTTCGTCTGCTCTTATGGACTGTATGTATCAAGAATGGTCCACCACCCAAAGGACATCCAGCCAATATACATAGTAAAGTAAAGTACAGATACCCCAAAAAACTACTTAAGTAGTACTTTCAAGTATTTTTACTGAAGTACTTTACACCACTGACTGTGGGAACCATTGGAGTCAACATGGGCCAGCATCCCTGTGGAACGCTTTCGACACCTTGTAGAGTTCATGCCCTGATAAATTGAGGCTGTTCTGAGGGCAAAAGGGAGGTGCAACTCGATATTAGGAAGGTGTTCATAATGTTTTGTACACTCAGTGTATATCAACAAGTAATGGAAAATATCCATAGAGCAATAGTCAATCACTTTTGAAATATAAATGAGGCACATTTGGACTTGTTCTCACCCCTCACCTCCCTCACACGCGCGCGCCCCCCCCCTCAAACACGCCCCCCCGACCAGAACACCGTCCCCCGCTACGACCAGAACACGCTCGCGCCCCGCACTACCAGAACACCTCGCGCCCCCTCACGACCATAACACGCGCGCGCCCCTCACGACCAGAACACTGCGCTCCCCGCACGACCAGAACACGCTGCGCCCCCGCACGACCATGAAACACGCGTCGCGCCCCCGCACGACCAGAACACCGCGCCCCGCACGACCAGAACACGCGCGCGCCCCCGCACGACCAGAACACGCGCGCGCCCCCGCACGACCAGAACACGCGCGCGCCCCCGCACGACAGAACACGCGCGCGCCCCGCACGACCAGAACACGCGCGCGCCCCGCACGACCAGAACAACGCGCGCCCCCGCACGACCAGAACACGCGCGCGCCCCCGCACGACCAGAACACCGCGCGCGCCCCCGCACGACCAGAACACGCGCGCGCCCCCGCACGACCAGAACACGCGCGCCCCGCACGACCAGAACACGCGCGCGCCCCCGCACGACCAGAACACGCGCGGCCCCCGCACGACAGAACACGCGCGCGCCCCGCACGACCAGAACACGCGCGCGCCCCCACGACCAGAACACGCGCGCCCCCCGCACGACCAGAACACGCGCGCGCCCCGCACGACCAGAACACCGCGCCCCCGACGACCAGAACACGCGCGCGCCCCGCACGACCAGAACACACGCGCGCCCCGCACGACAGAACGCGGCGCGCCCCCGCACGACAGAACACGGCGCCCCCCGCACGACCAGAACACGCGCGCCCCCGCACGACCAGAACACGCGCGCCCCCCACGACCAGAACACGCCGCCCCCACACAAAACACCCTCCACGACCAGAAACACCGCGCCCCGCACGACATAACCCCCCCACACCAACACGCTCTGCGCCCACACCATAACACTGCTCGCCCCTCACTACCATAACACCTCTCTCCCCCCACGACCATAACACTCGCCCCCTCACGACCATGAACACTCTCCCCCCCCACACCATAACACTCTCGCCCCCTCACTACCATAACACTCTCGCCCCTCATACCATAACACTCACCCCTCATACATAACACTCTCTCCCCCTCACTACCATAACACTCTCTCTCCCCCTCACTACCATAACACTCTCTCCCCCAACCATCCCTTGTCACTACCATAACACTCTCTCCCCCTCACTACCATAACACTCTCTCGCCCCCTCACTACCATAAACACTCTCTTCCCCCTCACTAACCATAACACTCTCTGCCCCCTCACTACCATAACACTCTCTCTCCCCCTCACTGCCATAACACTCTCTCTCCCTCACTACCATAACACTCTCTCTCCCCCCTCACTACCATAACTCTCTCTCCCCCTGACTACCATAACATCTCTCGCCCCCTCACTACCATAACACGCTCTCTCTCCCTCACTACCATAACACTCTCTCTCCCCCCTACCCCTCAGCTCAACCGGGACAGAGAGTATCTGAAGACGCCCCTGGGAATCCTTCTGAAGTCTCTCAGCCAATCAGACGCTGGTCTGTACCACTGCCTGGCCACGGAGAACAACTTCAAACACACGGTGGCCCGTGTGGCGCTGCGCATCCTGGACCGAGACATCGTGGTGGCCCTCACCTCCCCTGATGATGACCCCATGACCTCCAACAGCCCTCCCAACGAGCGGGGGGGACAACGTGACCCCCAGCAGCCAAAGCACCCCCCAACCCTCCCTCTCACAGACACCCCATCCCAGCAAGAAATCAGGTTGATCCACCAGTACTGTCAGTCTTACTGGGAGCAGTTAGGGCTCAAGCAGCAGCAGCCCAAACGCACCTCCAGGAGACACACAGAGAGCCAGGAGACCCAAGGCGGATAGAGGACTGGACTTCTCCAACACTAGCCAGCCAGGAGACACACAGAGAGCCAGAAGACCCACGGTGGATAGCGGACTGGACCTTTCCAACACTAGCCAGCCAGGACACTCCATATGATAGACTAGAGATCCATGTTTGACACCAAACATGACTTTCATCTCCCTTTGTATAATGACAGGTGGTGACACCGTCACACAACCCAGTATCTCAGTATAGAAATGTAATATATTGATATGTGTATATATCATATGATAATAATAGATCCATGGTTTATTCATGTATAATAATTATGATATCAAAGAAAAAACATTTGCCTTTGCACGGTTTATTCAGTTTGGAAATGTGTACATTTTGCTGTTCAACGTTGAGAGATAATAATTGTATGGTGTGATGTATGTATTTGTCTACTAATACCATATGTGATATTGTAATTGTGGTGACTCTTGCGCTCTCTAACATCTTTGTGACCTATGTTTGTTTGAGGACGTGTAGCGATACAGTATTCTTTAAATTATGCACTTTGATAGTGGTTGATTGACACGTAAATGAGGAATCTTTGCACAAAACAGACAATATCTACATGTAGAAGATTAAGACGGGAAATCATATGTGTGCATAATATTAGTTATAATACTACATTCCAGCAATATCAAATCGTCACTTTTAATGGGAACAGGTAGAAAGAATGTGTGTAGACCTCACCATCTTTTATGATGATATTGAGCAACATACTGTAATGTAATGTAATGTACATACTCAGCATGAGTCCTACACTTGAAACGTTCAAACGACAAATATAAAAATATGTTATCCTATCTAACCTTCTCTGTCCTATTTATTTCACTTTTGGGCCTTTCACACAATCCTTATCTGTAGCATTCTTCAGGTGTACATTTTCCATGTGTAAGGGCTAGATTAAATCTATAGCGCTGAAGATCCACACTACGGCGCGATTGAAATTTAAAGGGAATGTTCCTGCGGTCATTGAGACTGCATTCACGGTAAACGTGAAAATCTGCGTTAGAGCACTTTTCTTCAGCTCTGCAGATTGAATCTAAGGCTAAATCTACAAAACACAAAGAGAAAAGATTAACTGGTTCAACCCAACTTTGAATTCCACGGTTACAGAGTGGAAAATAATACAGTAGGGAATGCCCTTATCAGTCGTCCCATTCATCTTCATCTTCATCGTCAAACCCGCCTTCTTCTTCACCTTCATCTGAAACAGAAGAGAGGAATATCTGTTATCAGATTTATTTTAAGATTCATGAGGACAAGCCACAATGTATTTGGTTTAATTTATACATTTGTAGATGGAATAGAATGAATGAATGAAAGATTAGGATGAGAAGGTGTTTACCAGAGGAGTGGATGACTTTACTCCTCTTCTGCATGACCATCATCAGAGCTCCTACGATGCCCTCTGAGTCTCCCTGGGCAGGTGGAGGTGGCTCAGGACTGTCTGTGACCTGGGACACACAAAGGTCAAAAGTCAATGATTATGTAAACTGAAATATATAGACTTCACTCTCACTGACAAAGACCATATCTGTATTTGAACAACAAAGTTGTGTTTACGTTTTTGAGCTTCCTTCCCAGGCGTATCTGGTCCAGCAGAGCTCCTCTTCCATCTCCGCCTCCACCTCCTCCTGTAGATGCAGGAGCAGGTGGTGGGGGATCTTTATAGGGTGGTGGAAGAGGAGGGAAGTCTCCAGAGCTCTGGGCTGGGGGAGGTGGGGGAGGAGGAGGTGGAGGAGGCGCTGGGCCTCCTTGACTGGGGGCAGATGGAGCAGGAGGAGGAGGGGCAGGCATGGAGCGCTGGTGACTAAGGGGAGGGGGAGGTGGAAGAGAACTATGGGACACAGAAGGTGGATGGGGTTGGAGTCCACCTCGGCCGCTTGACGGGGGTGGAGGTGGCAGGGCTCCACGTGAAGGAGGGGGCTGGGAGGGGGGCAGGCCTCGCACTGGCGGTCCTGGGAGAGGGGGCAGGGGGCCAGAGCGACCTCCCCGTGGAGGAGGTGGGGCAGGAGGGGAGGAACAGCTCCCTGGGACTGGGGGGAGAGGACCCTGCCTACCAGGCAGAGGGTGAGGAGGCCCAGGATCTATATGCAATGGGATGAAAAAACGCCAACATATTGGATTACAAATATAGTTTGATTTACAGTTAGTTATAAACTAGTATAACAGAGTACACGAGAACAGTAACCTACAGTGAAGTACAATACAATACAATACATCTACTGAAGTGATGACGTTGGCAACTCTAGAACAGTAGTAGACATACACTCAGAATGACACTCACCAGTGTTCATGGCCTTTTTGACTGCTTCCATGCCGCCTGAGTTCTCGATTACTTGTTGGATGAGTTGGGAGGTCTCTTCGTCCTTCAACTCAGCCTCACTGATCCCAGCACAGGACAGCAGCTTCTTCAGGTCAGGGTCCAGGTTGTTGGGGTCCCAGCCCACGTGACTCACGTGTCTGAGGAGGGGAGGAGAGAGAGGAAGAGGAACATACACCTGAATGGGTACCTGAAAAAAGGTATGAGTGGCACACTTGGATTCTATCCTGGTTTTGTAAATTAAACAAATTGAGGACAAACAAGTTCATGACTAGGTGTCATGTAGTTACATGTGTTGTGATAGCTTATGAAGAGCGTGATAGTCGGAGAGTACGACCCTGCCTTACACAGGAAGCGGCACAGGTCCTAATCCAGGCACTTGTCATCTCCCGTCTGGATTACTGCAACTCGCTGTTGGCTGGGCTCCCTGCCTGTGCCATTAAACCCCTACAACTCATCCAGAATGCCGCAGCCCGTCTGGTGTTCAACCTTCCCAAGTTCTCTCACATCACCCCGCTCCTCCGCACACTCCACTGGCTTCCAGTTGAAGCTCGCATCTGCTACAAGACCATGGTGCTTGCCTACGGAGCTGTGAGGGGAACAGCACCTCCGTACCTTCAGGCTCAGATCAGTCCCTACACCCAAACGAGGGCATTGCGTTCATCCACCTCTGGCCTGCTGGCTCCCATACCTCTGCGGAAGCATAGTTCCCGCTCAGCCCAGTCAAAACTGTTCGCTGCTCTGGCACCCCAATGGTGGAACAAGCTCCCTCACGACGCCAGGACAGCGGAGTCACTCACCACCTTCCGGAGACATTTGAAACCCCACCTCTTTAAGGAATACCTGGGATAGGATAAAGTAATCCTTCTACCCCCCCTTACCCCAACCCAAACCCCAACCCAAAAACAAAAAAATAACATTGTGAAGTGGTGATCGCACTGGCTATAAGGTGAATGCACCTATTTGTAAGTCGCTCTGGATAAGAGCGTCTGTTAAATGACGTAAATGTAAATGTAAATGTAATGAAGGCTTTATTTAACTGCCTGCTTATATGTGTGTGCTTAGTATCCACTCACGTGAACCCACTGGGTGCTCCAATGTCTGCTTTGGAGAGTTTACTGCCCTTCTTCTTGTCCTTTTTCTTGTCCTTCTTTCCCTTACTGACAAAGGCAGGGGCGGGCACAGGTGTGACGGAGCGGTAGCGTGAGGCCTGGATGTCTGGGTTCTGGATGTCCATGGTGGCCATGGAGGGAGAAGTGGGACTGCCAGGTCCTGCTTTACAGTGGAAGTGTACATGTATGAGTCACAGTGTGTCTCTCGTGGGTAAAGATACCATGTCAGAGATGTGTAATGTATATGTTTACACTTTAGATATTGGGTCAGTTAGTTATAGTGCCTGAGGTATTACTGATACAATGGGATAAAAGGGATACTCACCTTTGCCAGGAAGTGGAGGTAGTCCCCCTCTGTCTGTAAGTAAAACACACAGAATTAGATAAGGGAGAATACGAGGGTTATTTGGGGATTAGTTCAGACAAGGGCATCAGTGTCCATAGTATTAGTAAATCAGTCTTACCACTGGAAGGCAGGGGGCGCTGTTTCTTCTCTGTCACTGTGAGAGGGAAGGAAGGAGGAACCAGAGGATGCCATTTTAGATCATATCTACTCATCTTCACCGCAACCTTTCCTTTGAAAAGCCACAGCTACCCTCTATGGAACCGTACCTTACAATATCTGTTATGTTTTCCATTGTCAGAGATATATTAGTTCAAATACAGTGCATTCAGAAAGTATTCAGACCCCTTCACCTTTTCCACATTTTGTTACGTTACAACCTTATTCTAAAATTGATTAAATATTTTTTTCCTCTCATCAATCTACACACAATACCCCATAATGACAAAGTGAAAACAGGTTTTTAGAAATTATTTACATAAGTATTCAGACCCTTTGCTATGAGACTCGAAATTGAGCTCAGGTGCATCCTGTTTCCATTGATCATCCTTTTGAGATGTTTCTACAACTTGATTGGAGTCCACCTGTGGTAAATTCAATTGATTGGACATGATTTGGAAAGGCAAACACCTGTCTATATAAGGTCCCACAGTTGACAGTGCATGTCAGAGCAGAAACCAAGCCATGATGTCGAAGGAATTTTCCATAGAGCTCTGAGACAGGATTGTGTCGAGGCACGGATGTGGGGAAGGGTACCAAAAAATGTCTGCAGCATTGAAGGTCCCCAAGAACACAGTGGCGTCCATCATTCTGAAATGGAAGAAGTTTGGAACCACAAAGACTCTTCCTAGAGCTGGCCGCCCGGCCAAACTGAGCAATCGGGGGAGAAGGGCCTTGGTCAGGGAGGTGACCAAGAACCTGATGGTCACTCTGACAGAGCTCCAGAGCTCCTCTGTGGAGATGGGAGAACCTTCCAGAAGGACAGCCATCTCTGCAGCACTCCACCAATCAGGCCTTTGTGGTAGAGTGGCCAGACGGAAGCCACTCCTCAGTAAAAGGCACATGACAGCACGCTTTTAGTTTGCCAAAAGGCACCTAAAGGACTCTCAGACCATGAGAAACAAGATTATCTAGTCTGATGAAACCAAGATTGAACTCTTTGGCCTGAATGCTAAGCATCACGTCTGGAGAAAACCAGGCACCGCTCATCACCTGGCCAATACCATCCCTACGGTGTAGCATGGAGGTGGCAGCATCATGCTGTGGGGATGTTTTTCAGCGGCAGGGACTGGGAGACTAGTCAGGATCGAGGAAAATATCAAAGATCCTTAATGAAAACCTGCTCCAGAGCGCTCAAGACCTCAGACTGGGGCGAAGGTTCACCTTCCAACAGGACAACGACCCTAAGCACACAGCCAAGACAATGTAAGAGTGGCTTTGGGACAAGTCTCTGAATGTCCTTGTGTGGCCCAGCCAGAGCCCGGACTTGAACCCGATTGAACATCTCTGTGCAGCGACGCTCCCCATCCAACCTGACAGAGCTTGTTGCGTCATACCCAAGAAGACTCGAGGCTGTAATCGCTGCCAACAAAGGTGCTTCAACAAAGTACTGAGTAAAGGGTCTGAATACTGGCGTAAATGTGATATTTACGATTTTTATTATGGGGTATTGTGTGTAGATTAATGAGGGGGAAAAAACAACTTTATCCATTTTAGAAGAAGGCTGTAACGTAACAAAATGTGGAAAAAGTCAAGAGGTCTGAATACTTTCCGAATGCACTGTATGACTCAAATACAAACATCACTCCACTGGGCACACACTGGTCAAATCAAAGTTGTTTACACATAATTTCAATGAAATTAAGTTTAACCTAAATGGAATAGACGTTAAATTGACGTCTGTGCCCAGTGGGACAGTTCACCAACATGGAGGACATAGTAGCCTAATATACAATATACAGTCTGATGTTATGTCAATCCTATACCAAAAAACTCAACACGATTTTCTGTCTTGGATTCTACAACAAATGACCCTGACCTTGACGGTTTCTCTGGTTGATTTTCTCATCAACTGCACTTAGGAAGGTTTCAGCCTCTTGATCATCTGCAAAGTTCAGCCCCACTTGGCAGTCCTGCATTGGATTGGAGGGAAACATTTCGATAGTCTCATGAAAAGACAAAAGTACAATCACTCATCTTTGGATTTACAGTCAAGCCATCATCATTAGTATCCAGAGCATATTAATGTAGAGGAAGATAAGTGTGCTTACATCTGCAGCGAAGGTATGGAAGAATGTCCGGGCGCAGTGGTAGACCATTTGGTTATAGAGCTCCTGCTCCCAGATCAGCTGTCCTTTCTGGGAAAAGACAACTGTTAATATAACTGAAAGTGACAAAGGCCAACACTTCTTCAACTCCTATCTTCATGGGAAACTTCTCAACAGTGGATCAACAAAGGATCCTTATCTAGGCTGGGTTACTGTATATGCACTTTGTGACAACAGTTGATGTAAAAATGGCTTTATAAATACATTTGATTGAATGATTAATATTTTCCATCATCGTGACTGACAGTGTATGTTCCTGTTACCTTGACATCGAAGAGGCGTATGAAGTAGGAACGGCGATGGTTGTCCTTGACGAAGCAGGCCACCCCAGTTTGCTGCAGGCTCCAGCAGGTGGGACTGTGTGGCAGGGCCATGTACAGCTGTGCCACGGCAGTGGCCAGGGACTACACACACACACAGGGCATTGAATTATACTGAACAAAAATATAAACGCAACATGCAACAATTTCAAAGATTTTACTGAGTTACAGTTCATATAAGGAAATCAGTCAATTGAAATAAATGTATTAGGCCCTAATCTATGGATTTCACATGACTGGGAATACAGATATGCATCTGTTGGTCACAGATACCTTTAAAAAAAAAAGGGTTGTGAGGCTGGTTGGACGTACTGCCAAATTCTCTAAAACAACGTTGGAGGCAGCTTATGGTAGATAATTAACATTAAATTCTCTGGCATCAGCTCTGGTGGACATTTTTGCAGTCAGCATGCCAATTGCACGCTCACATCTGTGGCATTGTGTGTGACAAAACTGCACATTTTAGAGTGGCCTTTTATTATCCCCAGCACAAGGTGCACCTGTGTAATGATAATGCTGTTTAATCATCTTCTTGATATGCCACACCTGTCAGGTGGATGGATTATCTTGGCAAAGGAGAAATGCTCACGAACAGGGATGTAAACAAAAATGCAGAGAACATTTGAGAGAAATAAGCTTTTTGTATGTATGGAACATTTCTGGGATCTTTTATTTCAGTTCATGAAACATGGGACCAACACTTGACATGTGGCTTTTGTCTTATTGTTCAGTATAGTTTATATGTATTTTTTTTTTTTTATTATTATTATTTTTTTTTTCATTTTTTTTTTTCATTTAGCAGACGCTCTTATCCAGAGCGACTTACAGTTAGTGAATACATTTTTTTTTTTTTATACTGGCCCCCCGTGGGAATCAAACCCACAACCCTGGCGTTGCAAACGCCATGCTCTATCAACTGAGCTACATTCCCTCCCCTACCCTGCCGGCCATTCGCTCCCCTACCCTGGACGACGCTGGGCCAATTGTGCGCCGCCCATGAGTCTCCCGGTCACGGCCGGCTGCGACAGAGCCTGGATTCGAACCGGGATCTCTAGTGGCACAGTTAGCACTGCGATGCAGTGCCTTAGACCACTGCGCCACTCAGGAGTATGTCGGCTCTAGATAAGTGCACATCAGAAAAGTGCGAACTCTATACAAGTGCAATTCAAATACGGACTGTACATTTTTCTACTTACTCTAGATCAGGGGTGTCAAACGTACGGCCCGCGGGCCGGATCAGGCCCGCAAACGGGTTTAATCCGGCCCGCGAGATGATTTTGAAAAACAAAAAAAAAATATATATATATATATATATTTTTTTTTATTCAATAAAATAAACTGCTGTTCCAATTGCGTCCACTGGATGGCGCAATAGCAATTGTGTTAAGCAAGCAAACTGTTTATACCGGGGCAGAGCAAGTAGGTCAAGCACGTGCAGCCAATGAGCTACTTTGTTTTGCCCGCGATATTTATTACGGCTTCTACTTTTAACATTATGTGCTTTGGCACCCTCATTGCCCCAATATGTCTCTGTCAAAAAAGAGAAAAGTGGACACAGAGTGCAGAGTGTTCCAAGAAAAATGGTCATCCTATTTAATCACGGAATTGAATGGGAAAGCTGTATGTTTGGTGTGTTCAGAGCATGTTGCAGTGCTGAAAGAATATAACCTTCGTCGCCACTATGTGAGTCTTCATGCCGACAAATATGACAACTTTCAAGGACAGCGGAGATGAGAGAAGGTGAATGAACTGTTGGCGGGTCTGAAGAAACAGCAGTCTGTGTTTACTCACAGCCGAGACATCAGTGACGCTGCAGTGAAAGCTAGCTACCTCATTGCTAATGAAATCGCAGTGGCTTCAAAACCATTTAGTGAGGGTGAATTTGTAAAAACATGCATGATGAAGGCAGCGGAGATTGTGTGCCCTGAAAAGCGGCAGGCTTTTGCAAATATCAGCCTGACAAGAAACACAGTTGCAGACAGGATTTCCGATCTTTCAGTGGATTTGGACAGCCAGTTGAAGCAAAAAGTAAAGTCATTTATTGCGTTTTCGGTTGCAATTGATGAAAGCACGGACATTACAGATGTTGCACAACTGGCCATTTTTTCATCCGCGGAGTTGATGACACATTGACCGTCACCGAGGAGTTCGTGGAGTTGGTGCCGATGACAGATACAACGACAGCAGCTGATATTTTTACCGCACTCGTCGGCGTGCTGGACAGGGTCGGAGTGGACTGGTCCCGCGCTGTCAGCCTGGCTACAGATGGTGCGCCCTCAATGATCGGGAAAAAAGCAGGCGTTGTGACAAAGTTCAGAGAGAAAGTGCAATCTGCAAATGGAGGACATGATTTTTTGACTTTTCACTGTATTTTGCACCAGGAGGCTTTGTGTTGCAAGTCATTAAAGATGGATAACGTCATGAAGGTGGTCATTCAAACTGTTAATTTAATCCGATCCAGAAGCCTGAATCACCGTCAGTTTGACAGCCTTCTCAGAGAGAAAGACCACATCTGTGGCCTGCCATACCACACTGAGGTAAGATGGTTAAGCCGAGGTGCTGTGCTGAGGCGTTTCTTTGATTTACGAGAAGAAATTGAACAGTTCATGGAAGAAAAGGGCAAACCAGTGTTAGAATTTCATTCCGCAGAATGGATGCCGGACCTTGCATTTATGGTGGATGTTACAGAGCACCTGAATAACTTGAACAAACAGCTGCAAGGGCGCAACAAAGTTGTCACGCAGTATTATGACAGCATACGTTCTTTCAAGTTGAAGCTGTCATTGTGGGAGACGCAACTTGCCGGTGGTGATGCAGCTCACTTCCCCTGTCTGAAAAATGTGTGCGCGACCCAACATGTGGCAGACATGAAGCGGTTCAAAGATAAAATAACGGGACCGTTACGGGAGTTTGAGCAACGCTTTCAGATTTATGTTTATATGTTTTTATGTTGATGTGCTATTGTTTTTAATTGTTTTTATTTTATTTGTATATTTAACCTATTCTTGACTCTGTGGTTCTTGCACTTGTTTGGGGAACAGGATTTCATTATTTTTATCTACATTTCTGCCTGAGAAATGACACCCTGATATAGTTCTGTGATCTGTGAAACAGTTCTGTTAATCACTGAGGCATTGTGTGTTTGTGTGTTCTTTTTCTTTAGAATTTTCAAATAAACTTGACGTATTTTATGATTAATAGTGATGTTGTGCTTGTACTATTTTGGACACACTGTCCTCAGGCTCCAGCTTTATGTTGTATGTTGATCGTATTAAAACAAAGAAAACAATCTGAAGTTGTTGTTTTTAAGTTATATATACCATGATTTTTCCGGTCCGGCCCACTTGGGAATAGATTTTCCTCCATGTGGCCCCTGAGCTAAAATGAGTTTGACACCCCTGCTCTAGATAGTGTGTGTGCTCAGGTTAAGTTCAAATATTTAGGACAATCGGAAGTCATTGCATTTATCAGGAGTCGACTGTACCAGTCCAATGGAAAGTGTCTGACATCTGTCAGACCTAAGTTACCTGTGATTAGTGTTTACAAGCAGCTGGTACTCTGTGGTTCGGAAAGTTCTTGGGTAGTTTTCATAGCAAAGACCTGCCCCAATAATGTCATCACATTCTCTGTGGTAGGAATAATGTTTTGTCAGCTACCACTGCAGGCTTAGGCCTACCTCAGAAACCAGGAAGTTGGAATGTCAAAAGAAAGCAGACTGCACATACTGAGTGTACAAAACATTAAGAACACCTTCCTAATGACCTCAGAACACCCTCAATTCGTCTGGGCATGGACTCTACAAGGTGTTGAAAGCATTCCACAGGGATGCTGGCCCATGTTGACTCCAATGATTCCCACAGTTGTGTCAAGTTGGCTGGATGTCCTATGGTTGGTGGACCATTCTTGATACACACGGGAAACTGTTGAGTGTGAAAAACCCAGCAGCGTTGCTGTTCTTTACACAAACCGGTGCTCCTGGCTCCTACTACCATACCCCGTTCAAAGGCAATTAAATATTTTGTCTTGCCCATTCACCATCTGAATGGCACACATACAGTCGTGGTCAAAAGTTTTGTGAATGAGTATTGGTCTTCACAAAGTTTGCTGCTTCAGTGTTTTTAGATATTTTTGTCAGATGTTACTATGGAATGTCAAAAGAAAGCAGACTGTACATACACTGTGTGTACAAAACATTAAGAACACCTTCCTAATGACCTCAGAACAGCCTCAATTCGTCTGGGCATGGACTCTACAAGGTGTTGAAAGCATTCCACAGGGATGCTGGCCCATGTTGACTCCAAAGCTTCCCACAGTTGTATAATTACAAGCATTCCATAAGTGTCAAAGGCTTTTATTGACAATTACATTAAGTTTATGCAAAGAGTCAATATTTGCAGTGTTGACCCTTCTTCTTTCTGAAGTATAATTACAAGCATTCCATAAGTGTCAAAGGCTTTTATTGACAATTACATTAAGTTTATGCAAAGAGTCAATATTTGCAGTGTTGACCCTTCTTTTTCAAGACCTCTGCGATCCACCCTGGCATGCTGTCAATTAACTTCTGGGCCACATCCTGACTGATGGCAGGATAATCAATGCTTGGAGTTTGTCAGAATTTGTGGGTTTTTGTTTGTCCACCCGCCTCTTGAGGATCGACCACAAGTTCTTAATGGGATTAAGGTCTGGGGAGTTTCCTGGCCATGGACCCAACATTTCAATGTTTTGTTCCCCGAGCCACATAGTTATCACTTTTGCCTTATGGCAAGGTGCTCCATCATGCTGGAAAACTGTTCTTGGAAGTTGCTCTCGGAGGATGTATTGGTACCATTCTTTATTCATGGCTGTGTTCTTAGGCAAAATTGTGAGTGAGCCCACTCCCTTGGCTGAGAAGCAACCCCACACATGAATGGTCTCAGGATGCTTTACTGTTGGCATGACACAGGACTGATGGTAGCGCTCACCTTGTCTTCTCCGGACAAGCTTTTTTCCGGATGCCCCAAACAATCGGAAAGGGGATTCATCAGAGAAAATGACTTTACCCTAGTCCTCAGCAGTCCAATCCCTGTACCTTTTTCAGAATATCAGTCTGTCCCTGATGTTTTTCCTGGAGAGAATTGGCTTCCTCGCTGCCCTTCTTGACACCAGGCCATCCTCCAAAAGTCTTCCCCTCACTGTGCGTGCAAATGCACTCACACCTGCCTGCTGCCATTCCTGAGCAAGCTCTGCACTGGTGGTGCCCCGATCCCACAGCTGAATCAACTTTAGGAGAGGGTCCTGGCGCTTGCTGGACATTCTTGGGCGCCCTGAAGCCTTCTTCACAACAATTGAACCTCTCTCCTTGAAGTTCTTGATGATCCGATAAATGGTTGATTTAGGTGCAATCTTACTAGCAGCAATATCCTTGCCTGTGAAGCCCTTTTTGTGCAAAGCAATGATGACGGCACGTGTTTCCTTGCAGGTAACCATGGTTAACAGAGGAAGAACAATGATTTCAAGCACCACCCTCCTTTTAAAGCTTCCAGTCTGTTATTCTAACTCAATCAGCATGACAGAGTGATCTCCAGCCTTGTCCTTGTCAACACTCACACCTGTGTTAACGAGAGAATCACTGACATGATGTCAGCTGCTCCTTTTGTTGCAGGGCTGAAATGCAGTGGAAATGTTTTTTGGGGATTAAATTCATTTTCATTGCAAAGAGGGACTTTGCAATTAATTGCAATTCATCTGATCACTCTTCATAACATTCTGGAGTATATGCATATTGCCATCATAAAAACTGAGGCAGCAGACTTTGTGAAAATTAATATTTGTGTCATTCTCAAAACTTTTGACCACGACTGTACACAATACATGTCTCAATTGTCTCAAGGATGAAAAACCCTTCTTTAACCTGTCTCTTCCCCTTTACATACACTGAAATGGTTTTAATAAGTGACATCAATAAGGGATCATAGCTTTCACCTGGATTCACCTGGTCAGTCTGTCATGGAGCAGGTGTTCTTAATGTTTTGTACACTCAGTGTAAGTAACTGAGTTTAACTGCTGCCTCTAATTCTGTTACCAGAGGAAGTGGTTTATACCAGCATTTCCTGTCACTCACTCACGTCTGTTTAAAAGTCATTGTGTGGAGACTCTTGGTGTACATGCAAAATGTTTAATTGTTTGAATTTCTAACAATAGATATGACTTTTAAAGTTGCCAAATATCTAGATTACCTCAAATGAAATGTCCAATGCATTAAATAAAACACATCAGAGCCACAGTAGGAGGGGTTCATTTAGTCATTTATATAAAAGTGAAACAATAATGATGACACTGAAGCCCTGGCAACCAGAAATTTGCCCAATAATATCTTACTGTATACATGGACCTTGTTAAAAGGCTATAATTAAAACACAGAATATGCCAGAATAACCTGTATTTAGTTGGTTGCTATTTAACACTTAGACATGTCATACCACCGCACCAACATGCCTAAAATACACCAAAATACTTTCCTATATACCAAACAGCCACCCACCATCCAACCAGAAGGTCTCCTCCATGCCAAACATCAACCAAATAGTTTCCTACGTAGGCCTACCAAGTACCAACCATCCAAACACCAACAAACCAGTCTCCTAGTCTACATACCAACCACCCCCTCCCCTCCCTCATCCCCAGGAAGGACTTACAGCACACCTCCTCCCCAGCAGGTCTTCCAGCCTCTCATTCTCCTGTGGGTTCAGCAGAGAGTTGGGACTGTACTCCTGAACTCCTTTAGACTTAGATCCCCGACTCATAGTCCCCTCTCAGAATATCCACTTAGTACCAAAGATCAGCTGAGCATTGACGTGCCTGTCTGTCCTCTTCCTCAAACAGGCACTGACTGTTAGAATAAGAAGTTGAAATGGTGCAGACGGTTTCTCTTCTGCCTTCTACAATGTGTTATATGCACTACAAGACTCAGAGCAGGAAATGGACAACCACAGTTTTTTCCCCTTTCTCTCGCTCATAATGCTGATCATGGTTGAATGGTGTTACTTCTATTTCATGGTCTGACTATGGAGTCTCTTAAGTTTTAGTCATTGTTTCATTGCTAAAAATGGCAAACTCTTCTCAGGTACTCAATTTACGCTACTCAGACCACAATTTTCAATGTGACAGTTATTAGAAAAGAGAATGAATCTGATTCAAAACGTTTAATTACATGAAACTTTTATTGGACAAATAACAAACAAATACATTTTGTAAAGACCAAATAAAAAAACACAGACTCCATTCTCTCTTAAAAATGGCGGTCCATAGTTCAGCTTACCATGTCTTATACAGGACTCAGTTTGTCTGAGCGCTCACAGACTTACTCAGAAAAGCCAATTCTAAAGATAGCAGGAGACATCGTACTACTTCTGCTCTTGAGTCTGACTGACTAGCGAAGCTGAGGTCAGTATTTGTTTGTGTTGAGTGGACATTTGTGTGTACGCTCACACAAACAGCCCTTTCCATTCATACTCATGAGAAATCCATGATGACTAGGAGTACATTTTTGGTATGTACAACATGATAGACATAAACAATAGAAACGTTTTAAATATCCAATTCAAGTTACTGGATATAATATAAATACAGTTTAAATAAAAGCTTTAATTAATCTTTAATTTAATTAATCGTCATGAATAATTGGGAGGGTTTCTGGCATAATCACTGCTGATAACTGCACTCATAGGAATATTTCTGACTGTGTTATGCTAACATGAGCTTGGTATCATGGAACAGCTAACAAGAATGATCACATCTGGAGGCTCTGTAATCAATACACCTATCACTGTGTATAAGCATAGGGCAAACACACTGGATTTGATTGCACTAAAAATAACACACAGTCATTGCTGAATGAAAGACAGGAATAGAGAAAATTACATAACATACTGTAATCTTATTTGAAAAGTCAAACTTTACCAGAAAGAGAAAATCTGCAACATGCCAGAATATTAGATCCATTTGATTTCCTTACGTGTACAAATATCTCATTGAAGATTCAAGGGAGGTAGATGAGGAATGTAATGATGACTTTGGCAATGATGAAGCCATTCATTGGTACACTTATAACATAAATACTATCATTACTCTTAGAAGACCATTACATTGTTTTCTCATTGTCTCTCGTGTCAAAATAGTAGAGATTTCACTTAAAACTGTTGTCTCTCCGACAACTTTACTAGTGCCTCAAAACAACATCCTGAAAGGAAACCACAATGTTTGTCACCTCAGAACTGTTGCTTTGTGTTGTTTTGCTGCTGGTTCTGTGTTTCTTCACCCCTACAAGACCTACTGCCACATAATGCCATCTTGTGGGGAAGTTTAATTGTACACTGAATAAAAATATATGGAACATTTCTGGGATCTTTTATTTCAGCTCATGAAACATGGGACCAACACTTTACATGTTGCGTTTATATTTTTGTTCAGTATATATTATTTTCCATGTCCAGCCGAGGCCCTGTCATTTGGCTATGGTCAAATAATGGGCACGTCGGGGGGAATTTGATGTTTGGGAGAGCTTTGGTTGGCATTTTGGCATTCTTGTTTATTGCTGTCTGTTGCTAGTGTCCGCCTCCACTCCGAGACTCTCCAGACACCCAGTCAATGATGATGAATGACGTACTCATCACCATGAAGACGAAGCCTAACACAGCAAAACAGGCAGCCTGCAGAGACAGAGGGGGAGGCAAAGAGATGGATGACAGCACATTCTCTGACATTCATTAATATAATAAACTTGACTATTATACTACTAATTACTGTAGACTATTTACTGCTACATTGCTAAAGAAGATGAGACAACGGATTGAGGTTTTACCATAATCTTTGGTTTGGATTTTAGAGGTTCCGTTTCTTCAGGAACAATCCTGATGTAGAAGATTCCTGGGAGGATGAAGATCAGGCTGGGTGCAGAGGTCGCCCCTGGGTTGGGAAGGGAGAAGAGGTGGAGGAAGGGAGGGAGGGAGGGAGTGGGGAAGGGAGGGGTGAAGAGGTGGGGGGGGGGGGGGGTCGAATGTGAACATTTTCAATAGGAACAAAACTATTAGAGGTCATAGTTTCTACTTTGGATAACAATAGTCTGTGAATCTAAATTATGTTTGCTTTGAAACCAGAGTCAGCCATTTTAAATGTCTCCGTCTCTGCACACTTACCGATGATGCCGAAGATGTCTCGAATGGTGGGCACGAAGATGACCAGTAGGTTGACGATGATGAGGAGACACACAGCAATGGTGATGTGGCGAGCCCAGTGGAAGGGCTTCTCAGGGAACAGCAGCTGCAGCAGGGCCCTGCGGATCTAAAGAGGGGGGAGGAGGGACAGAGAGATGTCACCAGGCCTGCATCATACACCATGGTTGCGGCCCAATTGACACCCTATTCCCCTACCTAGTGCACTACTTTTAACCAGAGTCCTATGGGCCCTGGTCAAAAGTAGTGCACTATATATAGAATAGTGTGCCATTTGGGACGCAGCCATGTCTCAGGAGAAGCATGTCAAATACGTTCTTGGAACCTGTTAGCCAATATGAGAATACATAAACACAAGTCAGCACACACTGTTCTGGTAGCTGCTGCCCACCTCTACCTGCTTGTAATTATCATACTGTTCAGGGCTGCATGATAGGTTTGAGTCTCACCGGAAAGAGTACCACAGGGACAGTGAGAGTAACAGCCACCAGCACAGCCATACGCACACACAGGATCAGGGTGTCCAAGGGGTCCACTTTAATGTATGTATGAAGGAGCTCTGACTCTACTCCACCTAAAACACAGAAAAACTGAGAATGGTGGTTATACTTCAAGACACACATGTATGCCTTAAAAAGGTCATAACCATACGTTCATACACCAGTTCTCCAATTCCAGACTTCTCAATATGGTAACAACATAGCAACAACACGAGTAAACAGTCTGAACATAATTAGTACTTTAATATTCTCATTGCTTCAGGAGCAGTAATTTACCAAAGAAGGTGAGGTAACCGAAGATAGCGGTTAGACCGTACATGACAAACATGGCCAGAATGGAGATGTTGGCAACTGTCTGCATGCGTTTCTTGGTGGCACTAAGGTCACAGTGGACAGACAAAGATAGATTAATACCTGAATTTGGCAGTAGTTAGTACCTGAATATGGCATTAGAGTCTACTGTAGTATGTGTGTGAATCATGAGGATATGTGTTGCATCTCTTATCTGAGTTGTGTCAGATCATGACTTACTCTTGTAGCTCTGTGTAGATGGGAAGCACCTCAGGGTGGCAGACAAAAGCGAAAGCCAGGATGGGGATGGTATATGCTGTCTGAAGGAAAACAAACCATGAATTAAATGGTTCAAATTTACAAACATAACTAGCTGCTCATTTGAGTATAGTAAACACATATACTGTATTGCCATAACAAATCACTGTCTAGAGAGATAATTCATAATCCTAACAAAGCTAGATTGCCTGAGACACAAATCTAGAAAACTAACAATCAGAAAATGTGTAATTTAATGTTAAATACAATGTCTGCCTGTATTACACGTCTCTTCCTCTCTGACCTGTGTGTTGATGGTGAATAGCTGTGGGTCACAGAAGTCCTCATCAGAATTGACGTATGCTGGGGTGACGAATGAGTGATTACCATGACTCTCCTCCAGGGCGTACGCTGAGTGGTTATTGTGACTGGTTATCTCCTCCAGTGGACACGGAATGTTGAACTTCTTATAGATCACCTAGTGGGAGGGACCAACTGACTATTTAGTCAAACACTGAAGACTTCAGCCACCCAAGCCACAGACTGTGCTCTCTGCTACTGCATGGCAAGCGGTACCAATGCACCAAGTCTGGAACCAAAAGGACCCTGAACAGCTTCAACCCCCAAGCCATAAGTACAGTGAGGGAAAAAAGTATTTGATCCCCTGCTGATTTTGTACGTTTGCCCAATGACAAAGAAATGATCAGTCTATAATTGTAATGGTAGGTTTATTTGAACAGTGAGAGACAGAATAACAACAACAAAATCCAGAAAAACGCATGTCAAAAATGTTAGAAATTGATTTTCATTTTAATGAGGGAAATCATTATTTGACCCCTCTGCAAAACATGACTTAGTACTTGGTGGCAAAACCCTTGTTGGCAATCACAGAGGTCAGACGTTTCTTGTAGTTGGCCACCAGGTTTGCACACATCTCAGGAGGGATTTTGTCCCACTCCTCTTTGCAGATCTTCTCCAAGTCATTAAGGTTTCGAGGCTGATGTTTGGCAACTCGAACCTTCAGCTCCCTCCATAGATTTTCTATGGGATTAAGGTCTGGAGACTGGCTAGGCCACTCCAGGACCTTAATGTGCTTCTTCTTGAGCCACTCCTTTGTTGCCTTGGCTGTGTGTTTTGGGCCATTGTCATGCTGGAATACCCATCCACGACCCATTTTCAATGCCCTGGCTGAGGGAAGGAGGTTCTCACCCAAGATTTGACGGTACATGGCCCGTCCATCATCCCTTTGATGCGGTGAAGTTGTCTTGTCCCCTTAGCAGAAAAACACCCCCAAAGCATAATGTTTCCACCTCCATGTTTGACAGTGGGGATGGTGTTCTTGGGGTCATAGGCAGCATTCCTCCTCCTCCAAACACGGCGAGTTGAGTTGATGCCAACGAGGTCGATTTTGGTCTCATCTGACCACAACACTTTCACCCAGTTCTCCTCTGAATCATTCAGATGGTCATTGGCAAACTTCAGTGCTTTCTTGAGTAGGGGGACCTTGCGGGCGCTGCAGGATTTCAGTTCTTCACGGTGTAGTCTGTTACCAATTGTTTTCTTGGTGACTATGGTCCCAGCTGCCTTGAGATCATTGACAAGATCCTCCCGTGTAGTTCAGGGCTGATTCCTCACCGTTCTCATGATCATTGCAACTCCACGAGGTGAGATCTTGCATGGAGCCCCAGGCCGAGGGAGATTGACAGTTATTTTGTGTTTCTTCCATTTGCGAATAATCGCACCAACTGTTGTCACCTTCTCACCAAGCTGCTTGGCGATGGTCTTGTAGCCCATTCCAGCCTTGTGTAGGTCTACAATCTTGTCCCTGACATCCTTGGAGAGCTCTTTGGTCTTGGCCATGGTGGAGAGTTTGGAATCTGATTGATTGATTGCTTCTGTGGTCAGGTGTCTTTTATACAGGTAACAAACTGAGATTAGGAGCACTCCCTTTAAGAGTGTGCTCCTAATCTCAGCTCGTTACCTGTATAAAAGACACCTGGGAGCCAGAAATCTTTCTCATTGAGAGGGGGTCAAATACTCATTTCCCTCATTAAAATGCAAATCAATTTATAACATTTTTGACATGCGTTTTTTTGAATTGTTTTGTTGTTATTCTGTCTCTCACTGTTCAAATAAACATACCATTACAATTATAGACTGATCATTTCTTTGTCAGTGGGCAAACGTACAAAATCAGCAGGGGATCAAATACTTTTTTCCCTCACTGTATTCTAAACAAGACTGCTAAATAGCTCATCAAATGGCTACACACACATAACCTGCAATTACCCTTTTTTACACTAACACTCTTCCTCTGACTCTATGCACACACACTGGACTCTACCCACACACTTACACATACTTACACTGACACCCCAACACACACATACACACACACTACATACGCCCACACACACATAACATGCACAGACTGTACATGTATACTGACTCCACACACACACACACTCACCAAATACGTGGCTACTAGTCACTTTACACCTACCTACTGTATATGTACAGCACATAGCTACCATAATAACCTCGTACCCCTGCACATCCTGCACATTGACTCAGTACTGGTACTCCCTGTATATAGCCATGTTATTTTCTACTCCCAATATATAGCTATTTCTATATATATATATATATATATATATATATATATATATATATATATATATATATATATATATATATATATATATATATATATATATATATATTTATGTTTTTTAATCTTATCTTTAACTCTGCATTGTTGGAAAAGGACCCGTAAGTAAGCATTTCACTGTTAGTCTACACCTGTTGTCTAAGAAGCATGTGACAAATACAATTTGATTTGATTAGCCTGGTCCCAGCCAACTTGTATGGTTGTTGACCATTACAACCATGGGAGTTGGCAAGACAGCAGAAACAGATCTGGGGCCAGGCTATGTATTGTTTAGTTGGTTGGGATATTGGTTAGTTGGTTGATGAAGAAGAGGACTCACTGAGATGAGGAAGAAAACCATACATGAGAGAGAGAAGCCACTGGTGTAACCAAGGTAACCTGTGAGGTGATAACAGAAGATCACATTGTGTTGAAATAGAGACATATCGTGTTATTCTGTCACTACTAGCATGCTACAAAAAGAGAATATGAATATAGAGTTTGAAGTGAAATTAGTGATGGTGGAAGACATGGGAACTTACCAAGGTGTCTCATGAGTGAGAGTGGAAAGATGATGATGACGCTTACAATGATGATGAGGTACCTCCCATCCAAATACCACTCTCTGACAGACAGCAAGAACACACAGATTATACACTAGAACCAACTTTCAGAACAATCTATCAAATAACATTTTAAATGCTCCTGTTTTATAGCCTGCATTATGAAATAACAGCAACAACTGCCTTCTAGAGACACTTACCCAGTATTTTCCGTCAGGCCAAGAAAGGCCTGCATGACCAACGGGAGCTCAGACTTCACAATGAAGAGGTAACTGGACATCGCTATGGGAAACGGAAAACAAAACTTGTTTACACTTGTGCATTATGTCACTTAAGTCATTAGACCTTCTATGACAGGAGCACTTTCAGTGGCACTTGTACTTGCACTTAAGTAAGTACATACATGAGGCTTACATACAATAACATAAGCCAATCATGACCTGCCGGTGACATACTGTACTTTACCTCCAATGTTGTGCATGGTGATGATGGAGCCAGCCAACACTTTGCCTGGTTGTCCAAAGGCACGGTGCCCTAGCTGCTCATAGGCACGGATGCCTGAGAGAACACACACATGCACGTTAACCTCTGAAGTGCAATGGGCTAAAATCAGGGTCACACAGAGTGTTTCTTGGTAGTCTTAAACAAATCTACTTTGAAACAAAAGTATGGTTATAGGCTTAAAAAAAAGGTCAGATATAGAGTTGAAATCTATTCAATTTTGAGGTTTGCATTCCAATATTACACGTTATATACATCACAGAAGACTGAAATATAACAAAACTGTTTGATATAGAAACACTGGATTTTCGGTAGGTTTTTAGAAATAATGTTGATTAATTATGAAATTATGAATTTTTAAAATGACATTCCACCCATGAGGCCACTAGGTCATTTGACTGCAGGAAAGGGGTACGTACTATTGTTTCTGTAGTTGCTGCTTTAAGGTGATAAATAAGATTCTTAGCCACATACTCTGCCTAACATACTGTAGTTCATTGGACATATGAAGTCATTGTAGGCTATACTACGAATGTTCTTGGTTTCATTATAAAGATAGGTATCTTGGTAAAATACCAGCATCTTACCTACAACTCCTGCACTTCTCAGGAGGAGGTGGATGGAATAGGCTGACAAAATGGCAATGAATAGCAACAGGATACTGAAAACACAAACAAACATAAATTACAACATTGATTTCTTAACAGTATAAAGCTCTGCAATTAGCATAACAAGGTTAATCAACATATCAGTTACATTTGGCATGGCCTCATCAGTGGCTTAGTTGTCTCGCGGTACCAGACATCACACCACAACGGCTAATGAGTCAGTAACGCCGTTGACCCAACTTCTCTCGCTGTTGTACTACCAGCTATGAATGACCATCACAAGTGTGATTCATTTGTGACGCAGCTTACCCAACTGCCAGTCCACCCCTCCCCATTCCCAATGGACACACATGACTGATTCAGGCAGACCTGCCTTTGATCTGATCTGATCACTACAAGTTATTTATAACCACAAATTTGATTTAGGAGAGCAGCGTGTGTATGAGCACTAAACAGACCGATAGGCCAGCCCACATACTCAGATACAGGAAGCGACTGAGAACACACACAACACAGGACAGGCCAAACCGTATCCTTTGATCCCCCTTGTGTGTACAGATGTAAGATCTTAATTTGATCACCCTGTTGCAAGAGAACTTTCCTGCGATGCAGGAAATGTAAAACTTGTAGGGCTCTATTTTCGGCTGCCGCTACGAAGGCGCAAGTGCCAAACGCCTGTTAGTTTGCAATTTCAGCATGTAAAAACTGGTGCTCTGGCATTTTACACGAGGTTCAGCAATTTACCAGTCTAACATCAGCACGCTTGCGCTGAGGTGTGGCAATATTTGAGGTGTGGCCTTGAACACAAGCGCAAAAGTACAAATTTCCTGCAGCACATATCCCTTATGCTCATGGAACAAGAGAGATGTGCTTTTTGTGCCGGTAACCCTCGTATATTACAAAAACTAATGTTTTTTCCATTTGGTTTCATTTGATAAAAAACCAAGCATATAGCTCCCTCCACTCAATGAACGCTGTTTTTTTTGTCCTGCCCAATGCGTTTGACAAGTAGCCAAGCCTATCAATTAAGATTTTGGCTTGTGAGACTGCTTTGAAATAAATCTTAATCACCAAACCTTTATTAAAAGATCAAGTTTGGGAGCATCAAAAGAGTGAGCGGACATCCGTTTTTTATCTATGTATTGTGGCCTACAATATTTGAGCCAGCTCCCATCTTGGATGTGCATAAAAAACCCTCCATATAGGCTACATGTACAGTGAGGGAAAAAAGTATTTTGATGATCAGTCTATAATTTTAATGGTAGGTTTATTTGAACAGTGAGAGACAGAATAACAACAAAGAAATCCAGAAAAACGCATGTCAGAAATGTTATAAATGTATTTGCATCCCCTCTCAATAAGAAAGATTTCTGGCTCCCAGGTGTCTTTTATACAGGTAACGAGCTGAGATTAGGAGCACACTCTTAAAGGGAGTGATCCTAATCTCAGTTTGTTACCTGTATAAAAGACACCTGTCCACAGAAGCAATCAATCAATCAGATTCCAAACTCTCCACCATGGCCAAGACCAAAGAGCTCTCCAAGGATGTCAGGGACAAGATTGTAGACCTACACAAGGCTGGAATGGGCTACAAGACCATCGCCAAGCAGCTTGGTGAGAAGGTGACAACAGTTGGTGCGATTATTCGCAAATGGAAGAAACACAAAATAACTGTCAATCTCCCTCGATCTGAGGCTCCATGCAAGATCTCACCTCGTGGAGTTGCAATGATCATGAGAACGGTGAGGAATCAGTTCAGAACTACACGGGAGGATCTTGTAAATGATCTCAAGGCAGCTGGGACCATAGTCACCAAGAAAACAATTGGAAACACATTACGCCGTGAAGGACTGAAATCCTGCAGCGCCCGCAAGGTCCCCCTGCTCAATAAAGCACATATACAGGGCCGTCTAAAGTTTGCCAATGAACATCTGAATGATTCAGAGGGAACTGGGTGAAAGTGTTGTGGTCAGATGAGACCAAAATTGAGCTCTTTAGCATCAACTCAACTCGCCGTGTTTGGAGGAGGAGGAATGCTGCCTATGACCCCAAGAACACCATCCCCACCGTCAAACATGGAGGTGGAAACATTATGCTTTGGGGGTGTTTTTCTGCTAAGGGGACAGGACAACTTCACCGCATCAAAGGGACGATGGACAGGGCCATGTACCGTCAAATCTTGGGTGAGAACCTCCTTCCCTCAGCCAGAGCATTGAAAATGGGTCGTGGATGGGTATTCCAGCATGACAATGACCCAAAACACACGGCCAAGGCAACAAAGGAGTGGCTCAAGAAGAAGCACATTAAGGTCCTGGAGTGGCCTAGCCAGTCTCCAGACCTTAATCCCATAGAAAATCTGTGGAGGGAGCTGAAGGTTCGAGTTGCCAAACGTCAGCCTAGAAACCTTAATGACTTGGAGAAGATCTGCAAAGAGGAGTGGAACAAAATCCCTCCTGAGATGTGTGCAAACCTCGTGGCCAACTACAAGAAACGTCTGACGTCGGTTTTGCCACCAAGTACTAAGTCATGTTTTGCAGAGGGGTCAAATACTTATTTCCCTCATTAAAATGCAATTCAATTTATAACATTTTTGACATGCGTTTTTTTTTATTTTTTTGTTGTTATTCTGTCTCTCACTGTTCAAATAAACCTACCATTAAAATGATAGACTGATCATGTCTTTGTCAGTGGGCAAACGTACAAAATCAGCAGGGGATCAAATACTTTTTTACCTCACTGTATATCTGCCCATCACGAAATGAGAGATGAGATTGCTTGTTTCCTGTTTCACCCTTTTCTTTTATATCCTGTCGATTTTATGACATCACGCTTCTGGCCCCAAGCTACACTGCTCAAAAAAATAAAGGGAACACTTAAACAACACAATGTAACTCCAAGTCAATCACACTTCTGTGAAATCAAACTGTCCACTTAGGAAGCAACACTGATTGACAATAAATGTCACATGCTGTTGTGCAAATGGAATAGACAACAGGTGGAAATTATAGGCAATTAGCAAGACACCCCCAATAAAGGACTGGTTTTGCAGGTGGTGACCACAGACCACTTCTCAGTTCCTATGCTTCCTGGCTGATGTTTTGGTCACTTTTGAATGCTGCCGGTGCTTTCACTCCAGTGGTAGCATGAGACGGAGTCTACAACCCACACAAGTGGCTCAGGTAGTGCAGCTCATCCAGGATGGCACATCAATGCGAGCTGTGGCAAGAAGGTTCGTTGTGTCTGTCAGCGTAGTGTCCAGAGCATGGAGGCGCTACCAGGAGACAGGCCAGTACATCAGGAGACGTGGAGGAGGCCGTAGGAGGGCAACAACCCAGCAGCAGGACTGCTACCTCCGCCTTTGTGCAAGGAGGAGCAGGAGGAGCACTGCCAGAGCCCTGCAAAATGACCTCCAGCAGGCCACAAATGTGCATGTGTCTGCTCAAACGGTCAGAAACAGACTCCATGAGGGTTAACAGCCCAACACCGTGCAGGACGTTTGGCATTTGCCAGAGAACACCAAGATTGGCAAATTCGCCACTGTCGCCCTGTGCTCTTCACAGATGAAAGCAGGTTCACACTGAGCACATGTGACAGACGTGACAGAGTCTGGAGACGCCGTGGAGAACGTTCTGCCGCTTGCAACATCCTCCAGCATGACCGGTTTGGCGGTGGGTCAGTCATGGTGTGGGGTGGCATTTCTTTGGGGGGCCGCACAGCCCTCCATGTGCTCGCCAGAGGTAGCCTGACTGCCATTAGGTACCGAGATGAGATCCTCAGGCCCCTTGTGAGACCATATGCTGGTGCGGTTGGCCCTAGGTTCCTCCTAATGCAAGACAATGCTAGACCTCATGTGGCTGGAGTGTGTCAGCAGTTCCTGCAAGAGGAAGGCATTGATGCTATGGACTGGCCCGCCCGTTCCCCAGACCTGAATCCCAACATCTGGGACATCATGTCTCGCTCCATCCACCAACGCCACGTTGCACCACAGACTGTCCAGGAATTGGCGGATGCTTTAGTCCAGGTCTGGGAGGAGATCCCTCAGGAGACCATCCGCCACCTCATCAGGAGCATGCCCAGGCGTTGTAGGGAGGTCATACAGGCACGTGGAGGCCACACACACTACTGAGCCTCATTTTGACTTGTTTTAAGGACATTACATCAAAGATGGATCAGCCTGTAGTGTGGTTTTCCACTTTAATTTTGAGGGTGACTCCAAATCCAGACCTCCATGGGTTGATACATTTGATTTCCATTGATAATTTTTGTGGGATTTTGTTGTCAGCACATTCAACTATGTAAAGAAAAAAGTATTTAATAAGATTATTTCATTCATTCAGATCTAGGATGTGTTATTTTAGTGTTCCCTTTATTTTTTTGAGCAGTGTATTTTAAACTATCGTTGTTGTAAAAAAAATAAAAATGATATCTTGTTTTCATTTGATTTGACTTATTTAACTTATTAGAATTATTCACTGTCCTGCCTTTATGGTGAACATCCAGCTCGCATGCAATGCAATTTAAGAGCCGTTTGCTGTTTCTGGAGAAGTGTGAATGCGATCTGTAAGATGGTTCCATTATGTTTATAAAACATTATATTTGGGAGCAGTAAAACAGTGAGGGGACATTCTCTTTATATTGGATCTTTGTCCAGTTTCTTTGAAAACTTGCGATGTGCATAAAAGCCTCCATTGTCTGCATTGCCTTAATATTATACTGTACCAGTCAAAAGTTTGGACACACCTGCTCATTCAAGGGTTTTTCTTTATTTTTACTATTTTCTACATTGTAGAATAATAGTGAAGACATCAAAACTATTAACTAACACATATGGAATCATGTAGTAACCAAATTATATTTTAGATTTTAGATTCTTCAAAGTAGCCACCCTTTGCCTTGATGACAGCTTTGCACACTCTTGGCATTCTCTCAAGCAGCTTCACCTGGAATGCTTTTCCAACAGTCTTGAAGGAGTTCCCACATATGCTGAGCACTTGTTGGCTGCTTTTCCTTCACTCTGTGGTCCAAATCATCCCAAACCATCTCAATTGGGTTGAGGTCTGGTGATTGTGGAGGCCAGGGCATCTGATGCAGCACTCCATCACTCTCCTTCTTGGTCAAATACACACCTTACACAGCCTGGAGGTGTATTTTGGGTCATTGTCTTGTTGAAAAACAAATTATAGTCACACTAAGCGAAAACCAGATGGGATGGCGTATCGCTGCAGAATGCTGCGGTAGCCATGCTGGTTAAGTATGCCTTGAATTCTAAATAAATCACTGACAGTGTCACCAGCAAAGCACCCCCACCCCATCACTCCTCCTCCATGCTTCATGGTGGGAACCACACATGCAGAGATCATCCGTTCACCTACTCTGCGTCTCACAAAGACACGGCTGTTGGAACCAGAAATCTCAAATTTGGACTCATCAGACCAAAGGACAGATTTCCACCGTTCTAATGTCCATTGCTCTGGTTTCTTGGCCCAAGCAAAAGTCTCTTCTTATTATTGGTGTCCTTTAGTAGTGGTTTCTTTGCAGCAATTTGACCATGAAGGCCTGATTCATGCAGTCTCCTCTGAACAGTTGATGTCTGTTACTTCAACTCTTTGAAGCATTTATTTGGGCTGCAATCTGAGGTGCAGTTAATTGCCGATTTCTGAGGCTGGTAACTTTAATGAACTTATCCTTTGCAGCAGAGATAACTGTAGTTCTTCCTTTCCTGTGGCGGTCCTCATGAGAGCCAGTTTCATCAGAGTGCTTGATGGTTTTTGCGACTGTACTTGAAGAAACATTCAAAGTTCTTGAAATTTTCCAGATTGACTTACCTTCATGTCTTAAAGTAAGGATGGACTGTCGTTTCTCTTTGCTTATTTGAGCTGTTCTTGCGATAATATGGACTTGGTTGTTTACTAAATAGGGCTATCTTCTGTATACCCCCCATACCTTGTCACAACACAACTGATTGGCTCAAACGCATTAAGAATGAAGAAATTCCACAAATTAACTTTTAACAAGTCACACCTGTTAATTTAAATCCATTCCAGGTGACTACCTCATGAACCCTTGAATGAGTAGGTGTGTCCAAACCTTTGACCGGTACTGTATACCCACAGGGAGCCATTTTAGTGCCTGTAACTGTATTTAGACATAGCCTATTTAAAACAAGTTGTTAAGTTTTGATAACAATTTTATTAGAATTATTCAGTCTCTTTTTAAGCCTTATCAATAGTGAATTTAATATTGCTTATTGACAACGTTTGGCATGTCCATGGCCCAGACATGGCAGACAAAATGCAATTTACAGTAAGCCTAGCCCCTATATCAGTGTGAATGCTATGTTTAACCCATAACAGTCTAAGCTGTTATTGGTTAGGGGGGGGGGGGGGGGGGGGGGAGTTAGAAGGTCATACCAAGGACCATTTAGCTATTTCATTTTCAATATTAATACTTTTTTATTATGCTAATTTGATTTCCTGCGGGGGTGCGGACATCGATTCTAGGGGGTGTTAACAATATATTTCCATATTGAAGCCATGCAATTAGGCTTCTTACAATGTAGACTGCAAACATGTTCAACATATTTATCAAAGATTGGACAGGCCTACATACATTTTGTTATTTTGTTTCTGTAGGCAATTTAACAAACTAGGCTATAACGGACTAACATTCGAATTGGAGTTGATGACAACGAAGTACATAAAATAACGTAAATAGACAACATGAAGCAGACAGATTACCAGGACGTGTACTCCGAGCATGTGTTGACCAACTGGCAAGTGTCTTCACTGACATTTTCAACATGTCCCTGAATGAGTCTGTAATACCAACATGTTTCAAGCAGACCACCATAGTCCCTGTGCCCAAGGACACTAAGATAACCTGCCTAAATGACTACCGACCCGTAGCACTCACGTCTGTAGCCATGAAGTGCTTTGAAAGGCTGGTCATGGCTCACATCAACACCATTATCCCAGAAACCCTAGACCCACTCCAATTTGCATACCGCCCCAACAGATCCAAAGATTATGCAATCTCTATTGCACTCCACACTGCCCTTTCCCACCTGGACAAGAGGAACACCTACGTGAGAATGCTATTCATTGACTACAGCTCAGCGTTCAACACCATAGTGCCCTCAAAGCTCATCACTAAGCTAAGGATCCTGGGACTAAACACCTCCCTCTGCAACTGGATCCTGGACTTCCTGACTGGCCGCCCCCAGATGGTAAGGGTAGGTAACAACACATCTGCCACGCTGATCCTCAACACAGGGACCCCTCAGGGGTGCGTGCTCAGTCCCCTCCTGTACTGCCTGTTCACCCATGACTGCATGGCCAGGCACGACTCCAACACCATCATTAAGTTTGCAGACGACACAACAGTGGTAGGCCTGATCACTGACAACAATGAGACAGCCTATAGGGAGGAGGTCAGAGACCTGGCCGTGTGGTGCCAGGATAACAACCTCTTCCTCAACGTGATCAAGACAGAGGAGATGATTGTGGACTACAGGAAGAAAAAGAGGACTGAGCACGCCCCCATTCTCATCGACGGGGCTGTAGTGGAACAGGTTGAGAGCTTCAAGTTCCTTGGTGTCCACATCACCAACAAACTATCATGGTCCAAACACACCAAGAGAGTTGTGAAGAGGGCACGACAAAGCCTATTCCCCCTCAGGAGACTGAAAAGATTTGGCATGGGTCCTCAGATCCTCAAAAAGTTCTACAGCTGCACCATCGAGAGCATCCTGACTGGTTGCATCACCGCCTGGTATGGCAACTGCTCGGCCTCCGACCGCAAGGCACTACAGAGGGTAGTGCGTATGGCCCAGTACATCACTGGGGCCAAGCTTCCTGCCATCCAGGACCTCTATACCAGGCGGTGTCAGAGGAAGGCCCTCAAAATTGTCAAAGACTCCAGCCACCCTAGTCATAGACTGTTCTCTCTGCTACCGCACGGCAAGCGGTACTGGAGCGCCAAGTCTAGGTCCAAAAGGCTTCTCAACAGCTTCTACCCCCAAGCCATAAAACTCCTGAACAGCTAATAATTGCACTGCCCCCCCACCCCCACCCCATCCCCCTCTTTTACGCTGCTGCTACTCTGTTTATTATTTTAGCATAGTCACTTTAACTCTACCCACATGTACTTATTACCTCAATTACCTCGACTAGCCGGTGCCCCCGCACATTGACTCTGCACCGGTACCCCCCTGTATATAGCCTCCCTACTGGTATTTTATTTTACTGCTGCTCTTTAGTGGTTAAGGGCTTTTAAGTAAGCATTTCACTGTAATGTCTACACCTGTTGTATTCGGCGCATGTGGCAAATAAAATTTGATTTGATTTTGATTTGATTTTGAACTTGTTTATTTGTCAAAACCCAGCCCTTTCGAGCTACCACCAGCTACTGCGCCCATAATTCCGGTTGTGAAAATAGCTAAAATATTTCCGACAGCGCTGAGATTTACCATTGCGTTATGTTTGTTAAAATAAAGCCTGTAGTATATTTGAGGATTAAAAATGCTTCAGAAGTTTGTAATTTCAGACTTGATTTTCCCTTACAAAAAATTTATCAACTCCTACAATAATGCCCATTAATTATAATCCATTCACATTTCCTTTTGTTGCAGGGTTATTTTTCTGCTGTAGTAAACTGGCTCAAATTAAGATCCTACACTTGTACATCCTTGGCTCCACCCATCTTACAAGCCTCGCAGCTAGCACATAACGTTCAGAGAACTATATGTTTCTTAGAGCTTGGTGAGAGCATGGTTGTCCTATGGTTATTTTGCATACAGCCTTCCCACAACATTCTGGGAATGGTGCAGGATACCCAGCTAGCACATAACATTCTGAGAACCATATGTTTCTTCTGTGGGAATTTCAGTGCTTCAGCACAACATTTTCTACAGGTTTCCTCATGGTTCTATTTAAAGTCATGGTCTCAGAACGTTCAGAGAACATTAGAGAGAACATTAGGAAACAGCATTCTATCACGACTCAGGATATGACCCAGATGCAGACACAGGAGGCAGATAGTTTAATTCTGAGAATATTTCTTATAACATAGGGGCAGGCAAAGGGCAGGTTGGGGGCAGGCAGAGGTTCGTAATCCAAGGCAGAGTCAATCAGGGACAAAACGGCAGGCGGACTCAGGGTCAGGACAGGCAGAAAGGTCAAAACCGGGAAGACTAGAAAACAAAACTTGAGAAACGGGAAACACGCTGGTAAGACCTGACAAAACAAGACGAACTGGCAACAGACAAACAGAAAACGCAGGTATAAATACACAGGGGATAATGGGGAAATATAGGAGACACCTAGTGGCGGGTGGAGACAAGCACAAGACAGGTGAAACAGATCAGGGTGTGACACATTCTTCTGTGGGAATTTATGCTGAAATAATGAAATTATTTCAGTATATTATTTCAGCGTAACGTTTTCTTCAGGTTTCCTCATGGTTCTATTTAAGAACGTCAATGAAAACTTTCCATAAAAACCACAATTTGTAAAATTTTCTTGCAATTCTATACATTTTATCATGGGGTGGGGGGGGGCTGCCGACCCCTCTAATCCTGTTAAGTGTGTTCAGGTATGTTGGCCACACCTGACCTTAATGAGTTCTTGTTTCCTTTGAAATGGGGTCTGTTTGAATAGATGAAAATTAACAGCTTTGTATGAGTAAAAAACATGGCATGCTAGCTCCATCCTTGTGAACTAATTCCAACGATAGGGAACAGAACATCATAGGTTCCAATCTCACTGACGCTATGCCACAATAAAAAAGAAATGTGTTTGCATGATTAATGCCTAAGCAAAATAATGTTCATGTGTTGTATCTTTGCTTGGAGTTCAAAACAGTTAACCCAAACTAAGCTAGCAGTGTTTTTAGAAGTCTAATTACCTTCATTTCTGTTCTCATTCCATTAATAAAACCTCCCATGAAAACTGTCAGGGAACCATAGTAAAACATTCTCAGAACCTCCCTGCAACCTAAAAATGTACATTCCCAGAACAGGCAAAAATGCCCACTTCCATTCTCAGAATGTTTAAAAAATAGTCAGGACACGTATCGCTTCTTTCCCAGAACCAATGGGAAACCAAAAACGTACGTTCAAACAACTTCCAAGGAACCAAATGTGCTAGCTGGGCTGTGACTAGCAGAGTTGAGCTTTTATAGCGGTAAGTGACCAGGTTATACACTCAACAGACTTCTCAATAATGTACACACACACAGCCAGAATGTCATACCCACAATAGCCATACTCTTTTCTTGTAAAACAATCTAAATGTTTCCCTTTATGGATCTGCCGGCTAAGCACTCAGTCTAGTGTGGCCTGGATAGTCTCATCATTATAGCATCATCACAGCATGATGACACTATAAACACAACCAGTGTCATTCTTTAACCCTATTGGGTATATAGCCCGGACCCAGACACACACACAGCGACAGCATTCAGATATGTCTGATCTGAGGTCATAGTAGAGTTCATCAAGCCTTAGGGAACCACAGTGATCTTGACAAAAAAGGAGGACAAGTGTGACTTGTGTTGTGTTGGCATGGTTACTCACAGGAAAAGGATGATACCGGTGTTGGACATGGCGTACGCTAGTCCCAGAATTCCACTGCCCATGATGGCATTGCTGAGATTGAAGATGGACATTCCAAATGAAGTTTTACCCTCAAACTAGGGTGGGAAAATAAAGGAAAAATCACACACACAATCCACAAAACAATACAGTATCTAGTTTTAGTTGTAACATTTTACATAAAGTTGTTTTTATACCACAGTATAATTACTCTCATACAACAGATCTCTGATGCTCATACTAATGACCTTTAAACTAAGGCTGAGCACTCACATCAGTGAACTGAGGTGCCTTTATTCCTGGCCTCTTCCCTGGCAGGAACTCATCCCGCTCTGCCATGAACTCCAGTCCATCAAACCTTGAGAGAAAATAAACACATTTAGAAACATGAAAGCTGTGGTACCACTGTGGCGCAACACACAAAGATTAAGGGTTAACAAAATCACACATATCAGTACTTAATGGCATTGCTGTGAGTAATTATATGCAGACAGGTATAGCCTGTTGATGCACTTGTGTTCAGTGTTAGGGTATCTGGTGTAGCCAGAGACTTACCCTTCTTCTAAATTGAGTTTATCTGGGCCAAGGTCCCTGCTATGTTGCCCGTTCATCTTTTGGAGCTCCATACTTCTCCCTACATCCATGGCTGTGCTGGGAATTAAGATACTATGGACTAAGGAAGAGCCAAGTCTCAAATGCAACCTATGGAAATAAAGATAACAAGTTTAAATTCTGCCTCAGATTGTTATTTTGTAATAATTGAAGGGGGTTCTAAAGTGAGCAGAGGAACATGACCAACATGTTATAGCAATCTGGTGCCCAACTGCACAGTCGATGACATGGTACACAATCATTGGTTGACGCATGCAACGTCTGAGCAGTGGAACGCGACCAATATCTGCGGTGTTGCTCGTGGCAACGTCATTGAGTCTACCTTTAAATTAAAGTCAATCTCAATGTGAACCGACAGATTCAGAAGCTTGAAAACACTATTGAACACCCGATTCGATTTTTGCCCAAATTGAGCAATTTTATTTGAAAAACTGAACATAATTCATGATGGGTTTTATTTTATTTTAGTTCGTTTTGGAGTCAAATATAGTAGTTTCAGTATAGTTTAAGTTTTTCAAACCGGTTTGTCAATTATTTTATTTTGGTTTACTAAACAGTTTTTTATGATTCGTTTTAGTTTCAGTTTTAGTTTACTATAATAACCTTGATACTTTGTTAAACATACACCTGAAGGATAACTGTCTGACAGTATATATTTGGCTCTTAGAATAAACAAGACGTTGTGGGTTGTCCAGACAGAAAGTCTGTTGTGGAAAGCAGCGGTGTAATGTGGAAAGCATGGTACTGGTGTAATGAGATGAATATTACAACTGACATCAGGATAAACCTAATGAAATGTATAAAGTCATGACATTGGACTAAGCCTAAACCGTGGCAGCTGTTTGAATCAACTATTCAATCTCACCTGACCATGGATGGAGTCAGTAGTTTACACATGACCATGGAAAGGAAAGGCCTCTGGGTTCGTAAATAAATGCTGGACTGAGAACACAATGCACAATGTATATTGAAAGACTTGAGAAAAGGCTAAACATGATTGATTTTAGCATCATCTGGATTATCTTCTTTCCCCCTTAATCATACAGCACTGTGCTCTCTGTGTGACATTTAACATAAGATAACTGTACTTGTAGTGTAGGTTGTTTTGAGGATCACTCTTAGACTGAGGAACCAGACCTAACTAGCCTAACATTTCCTTGACGAACCAAAGGGGGTCCACAATATGTAAAACCTATTGAAAAGATGAAGGGAAATACTGTTGAAGCATGGGGGGAAATGTAAAGCTATTTAAAAAGTATGTGCCAGGAAAAGCTTTAAATAACAAATGTTGTCAAAGGACTTAATGTTGTGCTAATCTGCTGTGGGCAACATAACACAAGCATGGAGATCACAGTTCACAGTTCACACTCCCTACTCTCACTGCCACTGTCATGGGTCTGAGCCCTAAACTCTCTCAACTCGGATGGCCTCTGACCCCTAACCCTTGGGGACTGACTGCCTCTATGGACATTGTGTCATACAATGTGAAAGCATGAAAGCATGAAACTGACTGAAACAGAGTTACTAGCTGTGGTAATCTACCAGGAAGGCAATAATGGACTGCTGTGAAAAGACCACTAATTAAGGGTTAGTTAGTGTTAGCCCCAGGAGCCTGGCTTCATAGCTTCAGGGAAAACCATCCCCCAAATGGTGGTCCAGACCAGAATAACTTCCTAACCAAATGTTTAACTACCCAGGAACCACAATGATCAACCAAAACACAACAAACAAGGCCCAGGATTGGTGTCTGCAAAGAGGAGGGGCATTTATAACCAATTGTCTGTCTGCAATGTACTTACATAAGAGTTTCTCTTTTACTTTGGTAAATATTTAATTGTATCACCAAAATGTGGGGGTATTCACCATTGTAATTTGAGTTTGTTATGGTTGTTGTTAATGATGAACTCACTATACAAGGCTGTCATTTGAAAAATCAACAACATTACTACTTTACTATGGGTCACTACTACTTTACTATGCTTTTTATTTTACATTTTACATTTACGTCATTTAGCAGACGCTCTTATCCAGAGCGACTTACAAATAGGATCATTTTGTAAATGAGACAAACTAGACAGAACAGGTTGGCTACCAGTTAGCTACCAGTTCTGTTTTAGTGTAGGTGTAATCAGCAGGAAAAATAACATGATTCCACCCTTTATTGAAGGGGTTGATCACCCAGGGTTTATAAAACAACAACATATGAAACATTTCATTTCAGTCATTTAGCAGATATTCTTGTTCAGAGCGACTTACAGGAGCAATTAGGGTTAAGTGCCTTACTCAAGGGCACATCGACAGAGTTTTGACCTAGTCGGCTCTGGAATTAGAACCAGCAAACTTTCGGTTACTGGCCCAACGCTCTTAACCATTAGGCTACCTGCCGCCCAAAGATTCTTTAACTTACAAAAAAACACACCTCCAAACATTACTTATAACCTATTCCTCTGAATAGCTACAGTATCGCCAAAATATAACATTACAGCATATAGTCTATGTGAAAAGTTCATAAAACAGTGTCTGGTAGTACCAGTTTACTTTAACGTCTGCTAAATGACAAAAAATGTAAATGTAAATGTAAAAGACCATCAGTGTGCCATGAGCCTCCCAGTCCAGTCCAGTACAGTAGCAGTGCTGTGCTTCAGACTCCTACCACATGTCCCTTTTCTGATGCAAGACCGCCTCTCTATTGACAGTTGCCCTTCCCTTGTTTCAATAACTCACACTACTACTACAACACACTACTACACAGCTACACTCACACAGCTACTTACCCAGATACTGGCGAGGAACTTCTGTTTCCTTTTACCCTAAGATGGATATCCCTTTAAGATACACCAATTTCTGTGTTCTCAACATCCACAGAGGACTTTTTTCCCTCTATAAAGCACCTTGGGCTGAGGAAGGGAGACAGAGAGAGAGCTTAGGACATGCTTGAGAGGGAGCAAGGGAGAGGGAGGGAGAGAGAGGGAGTCTGATAACACCCCTCCCCTCTTTAACCCTATGTTAAACCTGTCTGTTCTTTCACAAGTAGTGTTGAGTTACAGCCTGATTGAAAATTGAATCTAGTGGTAGGTACAGGTCTACATTCAAGAGATCATGTTTAACTTTATGGACGTGACAAGAGCAAAACATTTACCTTATATTTTTCATATTTATGGTCCCTAACTATGAAACAACATGGAAGCAAACAGTACTGTATAATGATGGGGAGCTAAGTAATACTATCAAAATGAATAGTAAGGGGTGACATTTGAGATGTTCTGAAAGAAAGCGTGGGTGGTACTGGGTAGAAGGGGACAGCGAGGGAGTTGCATCCTGCTAGAATAGATCAAGGCCACAGAGCCTTAATTAGCTTAGGAGATAAGTGCTTTTTTAAGGTTACCTGCATGTACTTCTGCTTTAAGACTGTAAACATTCCACACGCTAACACTTGATCATGTGCCTGAACACAGATGGACACACATTTAGGCCTACATAAACAGAGACAAGCAGTGTTGAACTGAATAAATAGAGGAAATGGTCATACAATCCTTGGGTTCTGCTTGGGAGAATGCCCACTCTCATCCAGCCTTAGAAGACATGCAAAATGTTCTGTACGTAACTTATATAGCTGTTAAAGAGGACTTGGACCATGTCTAATCTGTCTATGTTCTGGTATGTATAGTTTAACTCAATGGTGGCAACGTAAGTTCAAACTAAGTCAGTCAGTGATATGAGTTTTGCCAGTACACCCAACCAACACCCACATTCTCTTTATCTACCAATGACATACAGTATGTTTCTCAGGAAAAAGCCTTTTTGTGTTTTAAGAGGGTCAAAAAAATATTTGCATTGACTGAAAGGGACATTTTCAAACACATGTAGGTGCAGTACTAGGCTATGGCACCAGAGGTATATGACCAGAGGGGTTATTGGTTCAAATGGAGCACCATTGGACTAAACAAGTAGAGTATGAATGGAAAGAGTAGCCACAAGCATTCCATTACCATCAAATCAAATATTTAACTTTGTTCAGGTCCATTGCAGTATGTCCTTCTAGTGTTTGACAATTGTAAATCATCCTTCTGAAATTTGACTGACTTCACCACTGCATTTCTTTAGACTAGGGCTGGTATTCAATCAAAACAGCATTTTGGTTAACACGCAATGAATATGAATGAATCTGTTATTTTTTATTTATTAGATATGTTAAAACAAATATATATATATATATATATATATATATATATATATATATATATATATCCTATTAAATTATGCACGGTTTTCCCAGTGCATGTCATCTCAGTACTTATAACCAAATTGAATGTCACATAAAGAATAACTTGAACTAATCTGAACACAAGTTTACAGTATATGTCATCGTTATTACTTTTAAGGTTGATACTATCGCTACTATCACTACATTCAATTTCATGACCCACATGGCAGACAGCAGCATGGTGTCAGATAGTAGACAGCAGGATATGTCTTTGTACTCACCTCCCAACTGGGCCAGACACCTCCTCGGACAAAGTCCACCAATGCCTAGGCAAAACAAAACGGTTGAACCTCCCACTTCTGGGTATAGATGTGTGTGTGCATGTGTGTGTGTGTGTGTGTGTGTGCGTGCATGCGTGTCTTCAATATAGAATCTGTGACATCTAATGCCGCAAAGGGATGACAATGAAGAGTCAATGGGACAGCAGCAAGTTTGCTTGTATTCCTGTAACAATAACCTACTGTATGTAATGAAATACATGGGGTTCTGTTTCTGAAATATACCCCTGACAATGCAGTTACAGTTGAAGTCAGAAGTTTACATTCACCTTAGCCAAATACATTTAAACTCACTCAAGCCATTTTGCCACAACTTTGAAAGTATGCTTGGGGTCATTGTCCATTTGGAAGACTCATTTGCGACCAAGCTTTAACTTCCTGACTGATGTCTTGAGATGTTGCTTCAATATATCCACATAATTTTCCTTCCTCATGATGCCATCTATTTTGTGAAGTG